AACTTCCAGAGACAGCGGGCGGCACTGAGGCCCCCTGTGGAGCTGAACGAAGCCGAGGGCACAGCCTGGGCTCTCTTCTGCAGCAGACACTGCTGGAAAAGCAGGGCACCAACAGCTCTGTGTGCTTCCCATCAATGCAGCAGATGCCCTGGAGCTGGGCCTGGGGACCCAGCGATGCCCCAGAGATGGTCCCAGCCCTGGGAGGGGCCAGATCAGGACGTGCGCTCCGTGCCCGGGCCAGGACAGGGGCTTCGGGCACCAGACCAGGATGTCATCCTTCAGGAGTGGGGCTCCCCAGAGTGGCTCAAGAAGGAGAGCAGTGTGGTCAGATTTGCATTCTAGAAAGCTCTCCAGGGCAGTGTGTGGGAGAGACTACAGGTATTAGTCCAGGGAAGGGCCATGGGGTTGATGCCCAGGGTCTCACGTGCGTGGTGGGCACCCAGAGTGAGGAGGGCAGGCTGCAGTGCACCTGGTGGGCCAGGAGCCAGAGTCCTGTCATCCAAGGCAGATGGACCCATAGATGGATACTGTTCAGCCCATCCAGGGCTTTAAAAATAAGAAAGGCAGGGGCTCTGTGTGCGAGCTTCTGTCGGCGTGGACTGCTTCCAGAAGGACCACACAGGGCTGGTGCGAGTGCTGCCCCCAGGAGGCGCGGCGAGGAGAGAGGAGGCTGGCGGCGTCCTATCCCTTCCTCGGTTTACACCTCCACTCAGTGCAGAGGCCTTTCCAGCAGAACCACACACAGGTCAGTGAGGCCGGGGGGCCCTCTGCCCGTCACAGGTGGCGAGGCCCACAGTCACCAGCTGGCATATGGGATAGCCAGAGCCTGCCCCCTCCAATGGCTCCACGTGCCTCCTGGAGCTCAGCCACAGGGCTTTGCTCAAGAGGAGTGGGACACAGCTCTGTGGCAGACAGGCCGAGTGGATGCTGCTCCCCCCTGGGGAGGCTCCCAGAAGAGGGGCCCTTTAAGCTTGGCCTTGAAGAATGAGTAGGAGTTCTCCAGCTGGAGGAAGGACACTGTACAGTGGAGGGAAATGGGAAAGCACAGCTTACGTCCAGGAAACAGTGTAATGGATGACAGTGCATGGGGCCTCAAGGGGCACCAGATGGACCCGTGAGACCACTAGGCAGCTCTTTTCCACTCCCAAGGGCTGTCAGGAGCGCATGGGTACTACAAAGTTTAGGGCAATACTGGAGTGAAGCCAGGGCAGGAAGGAACAGCAGTGCTGGGGAGAACAGGTGATGAGGATGCTCAGGCTCAGAGAGGTTGACTGGCTCCCCCAGGGTCACACAGCAAGTGTGTCTGTCTGACTCACTGCTCTCTCTGGCAGAGGATCAGAGTGAAAGAGAGTCCAGAGAGTACTGCCAGGGGAGAGTCTGCTTAGTGTGGGAGACAGATGGACCAGGAATCCCTGAAGGAAGTCAAGGCCTGTGAGGCTCCACCCCAGGACCCCTGGATTAGCCATCTGTCACCCTGCTGCCCTGTGCTGTGGGAGGGGGGGCTCTGGGGACAGTAGGGCCTCTTTCAGCCCTTGAGCGATCCCATTGCTCAGCTTCCTCAGCTACAGGGTGGAACCGTGGCCTGCCTCCCAGGCCTGCAGCGAGGGCAGCCGCCATCAGGGTCTGGCAGGGCTCAGTGGAGTCGCAAGCGATGGACGTTCGTGGACAGACCCTGGAGAGTCTCCCCCGCTGTGGTCCTAAGGGGCAGGGTGGCGGCTTCCCTGGGACCTGGCCCTGCTCTGTGTCCTGGCTTTACTGGGGGTCACCTTGAACCCTGTACGCAGTCCAGGCCCTAAGGCTGGTTCTTGCCCCAGCCACTGCCTGTGACCTAGCTGTGAGGCCCACTCAGTGCCTGCTTCCGGCCACAAAGAGGAAAGGCCCTATTCAGTCCTAAGCTGTACTGTAGTCTTTGTCATTTCCATCTGCATTGACAGATTGACAGACGGGTGAAGTTTGCGCCGTATTTGGGCTCGGTTTAGCAGGACGCACAGGCGCACGCAGGGCCTGGGCACAGACTGTGGTGGCAGCCACACCGGACGAGGTGGCCAGGGGCCCATGGGGAGGTAAGGTCAAGTGGGCAGTGGGGTGGAGCAGGGAAGACCTGAGCAGAGGCATGCAAGGGCGGACTAGAGAGCAAGAGTGGCCGGAAGCCAGGCGAGGCCACTGCGGGGACTTGAGTTCAGAGGGGACATGGAACAGACCTCTGTCCTCGGCTCCAGCCCAGCCTGTTACTGGCTGCATGGCCTTGGGCCCCAAGGTCTTCCCTTGCTGGGCCTCGGTTTCCTCTGTAAGGCGAGAGTGGTAACACTGGCCTGACAGAGTTGCTCTGGTGATTTAGACCGAGTGTGGGGGCCACGAAGAGCTCCAGAAGACACCCAGGATGGGCCTGGGCCCCCCGAGTGCTGTGGCAGCTGAAAGGGCCGGGTCTGGGTGAGGGGTCCAGGGTAGAGATGTGAGGGGGACAGGGTCCTGAGGAAGCCCGGCAGGGCCGAGCATGGGGGTGGAGGAGGGGCAGGGCTGCTGGGGGGAGGAGGCCTCAGGCGTGTGGCTCCAGGGGTCAGGACAGCCAGAAGCCCACAGAAGGAGACAGGCCAGCCAGGGCCAGGCCTGTTCAGCCTCAGGAGCAGGGACAGGAACTGCGCCTGTGGCTGGGGCTGAGGCCCTGACCGGGAGCCCCAGGGCCTGGACCCCAAGACTTTGGGATGGCCCCACTCCCGGCCTCCTGGGCCCCGGCTGCCCCCAGGCCATTGCCACACTGTGCAGCCCCCAGCCGCCCCGAGGCTGCGGCTGGAAGCACTCGAGCTGGATTTCAGGATCGCCCTGGCTCCCACCTGGATCCAGGCCCTGAGGGCGCAGATTTACTGTCCCCACCCAGGGCAACCTGGAGGTCGAGCCAGGAAACTGGCCGTTTACTCCTGGACCCCACAAGTGGGGTCCCCTGTTCCCAGACTGTGTTCACACCCAAGGAGGAGAGACCAGCTCCCAGAGCCACAGACTGTCTCAGGGGATGCGTCGCTCTCGCTGAGCAGAGGAGGCAAGGAAAGGCATTACAAACCGAGGGAACAGCCCAGACAAAGGCATGAAGATGTGAAAGAAGCAGAGAGCTCAGGGAAACAGAGATATGGGGCGACACAAAGGCAGAAGCTGTTGCTGGCCACAGAGGACGCTGGGCCAGGGGAGGCAGCCTCAGCAGTGGAACCACGAGGAGTGACGGGCCAAACCCATGTGAGGCTGTGAGAGACCAGAGGTCGGGGTCAGTACCGACACTGGAGATGCCCCTCTACTCACGGGCCCCTGCACGCTCCCTCCCCCCTGCCTTTGCTGGGCTGTTTTCTACCCACACACAGCTGCTTGTCAAAATCCCCAGATGCCACTTTCTCAAGGTGGCACTCCCTAATCTTTTCCAATGCCCCACAGCCGCTGCGCCCTCTCCCTGCTCAGAACTGGCAGCAGACTGCCTGCCCCACCCCTTCACTTCCCATGTCGTGTTATATGTATTTGCCCATGGCTCATCTTTCCTGCTACCCTTCCATGGTTGACTCAGCCCACATTTACCAGCACATGCTCCATGCCAGGCCTCATCCGAGCACTGGAGCCCAGGAATCAGACCTTTTTCCTGGATCCTCTGGAAGACTTATGTAGACCACACATTAACAATACATTGTGTCATGTGCAACAGCTAGAATATGTGCTGGGCACAAGGACAGATGGCCTGACTCTGGACAGTGGAGAAGCCTGGAGGGCTTCATGGAAGAGGAGGTAACCAAGCTGAAGATGCACAAAGGCAGGAAGAATGTGACAGGCAGACGGGCAGTGCGTGCAAAGGCTCAGGAAGGTGGAGCTTCCTAGAACATTTGCTGGGGTCGAGGGTGAAGTATATGTGGGGATGAGGAGACAGTGGCGGGGACGAGGACAGGGGTTGGCAGAGACCAGAGGGACTCAATCAGCAGCAGGCCGGTTGCCTTCCTCTACACTCCCACACAGAGGTGGAGCTCGGCAAGGCTGTGTGGAGTGGCTGCGTGGACAGGGGGAGGGGACTGGTGGGGGCTGCTGTGCCCTCTGCAGGCAGCACAGAGCCCGGGTCCCCTGATGCCCCGATGCACAGCATCCAGCTTCATGTTGCGTGGCTTCGCTCAGCTGTGCTCATTCCCATGGCTCTGACAGTGCCGGCGCCTAGGTGACCTATGGCAAGAGACATCTATCTCCCACAGTTCTGGAGACCCCAAGTCGAGATCAGGGTGCCACACGGTCGGCTTCTGGTGGGAGCCCTCTCGCAGGCTGCAGACTTCTCCCTGTGTCCTCACGTGGTGGAGAGAGAGCCAGAGTGCTCTCTGGGCGCTCTTTACAAGGTCACTAATCCCATTCCTGAGGGCTCCACCCTCATGACCTAGTCACTGCCCAAAGGCCCCCTCCTACTGCTGTCACCTTAGGGGCCAGGTTTCAGCATGAGGCTGTGGAGGGACACAGTCAGTCGGCAACAAGGCGCAGTCGACAAGCTCAGTGCAAGCTGGCTTAAGGGAAACAAACGGATCAGCTGACAAACGGAAGTGTGCGGGATAGCCTCAGCCCCAGGCCTTTCGCCCTGTCTCTCTCTCTGTCTCTCAGCTCTGCCTTCTTCTCTGTGGGCTCTTTCTCAAGCCACGTGGTGCCCCAGGAGCTCCGGGCTTAGACCCTCAGGAGAAAAGAGCCCTCTTTCCCTGAAAGCGCCACCACTCAAAGTCCCAGGCATGACGCCCACCCTGAACCACTCGCCCAAGCCCCGAGGAGGTGGATGGGGGCGGTTCTGGAGAAGAAGTCGGGCTCTGTTGTCAGAGGAGGGGATTCTGGGCGGCAGACATCACCCAGCTGTCCCCAGCCCAAGTCCGCGTGCAACATGGCCAGAGCGCAGGCTCAGGACAGCCTGTGCTCTTGCGTCACTCAGTAGTGCCTCTGGGTCGTAAAACACAGAGGAACGCCTTTCCAGCGTGTAACCTCTGCTCTCTCTCTCTCTCGTTTTCCAGGGGCCACTGGGTCTGGATGGCAAGCCCGTAAGTGATGACAGGGCAGTTCTCGGTGGTCTTGGGATGGGGCTGCCCCTGGGGGATGGGAATGACCATGGGGCACCAAAGGGAAGGGCCACTGAGAACCTGGCTCAGCTCAGAGAGAAGCCATTTGGGTGTCAGGCTTGAGTTCAAATCTAGCTCAACCACCTGCTGACTGTGCGACCTTAGGGAGGCCTCTTCACCTCCTGAGCCTGAGGCTTCTGTCTGTCAAACAGGCGCTTGATCCTCCCCACAGGGATACTGGGGATGTGGAGAACCGTGGACAGTCCCACCCTTAGCATCTAGTCAGCCTTCAAAACATACAAGTCCCTCCCAGCAGGCCCCAGGCACAAGGCATTTCCCCATATGGTCTCAAGACTTAGATGGTAGGCATTGGGCTGAGGAGTTCTCAACAGCTGAGCCAAGAGCCTGTGGTCCACAGGCATCAGCAGCAGAATGAATAAGATGCACAGACAGACAGCATAATAAAATAAATAATTGGATGTGGATGGATGGATGGATGGATGGATGGATGGATGGGTGGATGGATGGATGGGTGGATGGATGGGTGGGTGGATGGATGGATGGGTGGATGGATGGATGGGTGGATGGATGGGTGGGTGGATGGATGGATGAACAGAAAAACTAATGGATTGATGAATGGATTGTGGATAGATTGATGGAAGGAAGGACAGATGGATGGATGGACAGATGGACGGATGGGTGATGGATAGATGAATGGAAAGAAGGAAAGAAGGACAAATGGGTAGATAGACAGATGGATGGATAGATGGAAGGAAGGCAGGAAGGACAAATAGATGAATGCATTGATGAACAGAAGGCCAGATGGACGGATGGGTGGATGGATGGATGAATAGATGGATGGATAGATGGACAGATGGAAGGACAGTCAAATGAGGTAATGAATCACTTATCATACAGACAGTTAAATGTACAGTGGTTTAACAGACAAGTGAGTGAAGAAATGAATGACCTATTGAATGAATGACAAATGACTGAGGAGTTAACGGATGCTACGCGCATTATTAGAGGATGGAGGAAAGAACTGACTACCTGGATGGACAAGTTGTTGAATGAATGAACGAGTGAATCCATTACGGGCTGAAGGGATAATGGATGGTTTGGGGAGGGATGGAGATGGTGAGCAGGTCAGCCCCTGACCAAGAGTGCCAGCCCCAAGCTGGCCTTCCCCAGCCCGGCCCCCACGCTGGGGACTCTGAGCCCCACAGTCAGTGCCTTGTGGCCTGACCTTCTTCCCTAGAAGGTCTGGTAACTTGGCAGGATTGAAAGAGACACATTTCCCTGCCTCCAGAGAGCAATGGTGGCCACCATGGCCTGCGTGGAGCCACCCCACCCTCACACCCCGGACTCTGAGAGCAGTGGCCTCCTCGCCAACACCCAGCACAGCAGGTGCTAACAGGGAGGCTCTGATCTCTCGGAGGAGTGGCTAACACGTATGGCCCTGTCCCTGCTGAGGGCATGCCAGTGGGCCCTCGCTGGTGACCCCTCAGCCCCCACCTCCCTCATGCTGAGCACTGAGGTGTGGAGCTTCCCTGGGGCCAGCACGGGCAGCCCTCATTAAGAGCTGGCGGGCCTGTGTGCTTTTCCAGTCGGCCGCAGCTCGGCTCAGCAGCACCAGCCCTTCTGCCTCCAAAGCCATAGGGAAGTGGCCGGCCCAGTGGCTCAGCTGTTAAGTGCGCACTTCTTGGTGGCCCAGGGTTCGTCGGTTCAGAACCCAGATGCGGACATGGTACTGCTTGGCAAGCCATGCTATGGTAGGCGTCCCACGTATAAAGTAGAGGAAGATCGGCATGGATGTTAGCTCAGAGCCAGTCTTCCTCAGCAAAAACAGGAGGATTGGCAGTAGTTAGCTCAGGGCTGATTTTCCTAAAAAAAGAAAGAAAGAAAGAAAGCCGTAGGGAAGCAGGAAGTGGGGCCAGCCTAATCCTCCTCATTCACGCCTATTCTTTCTCCACCTTCCTTCTCCAGGGACTTCCAGGCCCCAAGGGGGAAAAGGTAAGTGATGCTGGAGGCTGTCCAGATGCAGGAGGCTGATGAAGGATGCCAGAAACCTGCCGCCAAACCCCAGTTCCAGAGGGTGACCTTGGGCATGTCACAGCCCCTCCTAGAGCCTCAGTTTCCCCATCTGTAAAGTGGAGGTAGTAGTGCCTACCTCCTAAAATAGTTACAAGGCTTACATTTGACAATTTAAAATGCCTGGAGGGTTAAATCTGAGTTCTCCTGGCACCGGAGCGTGACAAAACTCAAAGCACAGTCTGCCCAGAATGACAAGCTTCCACCGTAATTAATCATGGAGACGGTGCCAGGAGAGCCCGGGGGGTTGAACATGGCTGTTGATGGCAGTCTTTGTGGGAAGGATGCCCCCACCCCCTAGGAAAACAGATGACAGACAGCTGCCTCTGGAATCTTTCAAGCCCTTGTGAGAAGAGCTTCCCTGGCATTGGCACGAAATGTCACAGCCACACCCATGAAGGGCTGGGACCTCCAGGTGCCTCAGAAGGGAGCAGGGGACGGAGGGACCAGAGCAGACCTGGGTGTGGTGGGACGCGGACGCTTCCAGGGAAGCGCTGGGTGGAGCTGGGCCACGTCTACTCCTGACACGTGCTGTGAGGTGGCCCTCTATGGAAGGGCGGCCAGGGTTCCAGTCCAGCACCAGGGCTGAGCAGGGCGCAGGATCTGGTGTTCAGAGCCTCAGGGTTGCCTTCCAGCTCCACCACCAACTGTGTGGCCTTTGGTAAGTAGCCTGGCTCTGTGGGCCTCGGTTTCTCCATATGTAAATTAAAGCCAAGCTCACCGAGCCATGGGGAAGATGCAGGAGGCCATGGTCTGCATCCTTCATAGATGATGAGGCGCTCGTGCACTTGGCAGACGCGCTGATTGCCTGCCCCCTTGGTTCTGGCTGATGCCACCAAGTTGAAGAAATGAGTAAGGCAGGGGCTTTGAAACCAGAGGGAAATCGATGTCTTGGCATCCATCACTGCATAACACACTGCCCCAAAACTTGGTGACTTAAAACAGTCAATTAGGGCCAGCCCCGTGGCCGAGTGGTTAAGTTCACAGGCTCTGCTTAGGCGGCCCAAGGTTCACTGGTTCGGATCCTGGGTGCGGATATGGCACGGCTCCTCAGGCCCTGCTGAGGCAGCGTCCCACATAGCCAAACTAGAGGCACTCACAACTGGAATATATGACTATGAACTGGGGGTTTGGGGAGAACAAAAAAAAAGAGGAAGATTGGAAACAGATGTTAGCTCAGGGCCAATTTTCTCACCAAAAACAAACCAACCAACGATCTGTCATTATGCCTCATTGTTCTGAGGTTCAGGGATTCCGAGGGACGTGGTGGGAGCAGCTCCTTCGTCTCTGCTCCACCATGTCTGGGGGCTGGCAATAGATAACAGACCACCTGCTTCCAAGCCCTGGATCTGCTAGCTGCGTGACCTTAGGCAAATCACTTAGCCTCTCTGTGCCTCAGTTTCCTCACTGGAAATGAAGATAAAAATAGAGCCTGCATGTTGTATTTGTTAGGATGAAGTGAGAGCGTGTGTGTGAAGCGCTGAGCAGTCAATGCTCAATACATGTGAAGGAGTAACAGAAGTAGAGGTGCTGAGGTGTCTCCCTTGTTTTCCCTAGGGTGCACCAGGAGACTTTGGCCCCCGGGTAAGAACTGAGTGACACCCCCTCACCACCCCCACATGGTTGTTTTATGTTATAATGTGGCATGTCCAGTGTTTCTTGTGGGTCCCTGCAGCTTATCACAGAAAGAGGTGGGTGAGCAGCCCCACCTCCCGACCCGAGCTCTGTCCCGCCACGTGGTTTCCCTTAGAGGCCGCTGGGTGGAAGCCGCTGCACAGACGAGGGGTCTCTGGCAGACATCCCCGTGACACTTATCACCATGGATAGGTAGACAGTGGGGCTGGCACTGGTCCCAGACTAGAGACTGACCTTTCTGAGGGCAACTGGCTCCCCAGGAAGAGGGAAGGCTCTGGGGTCAGCAGCCCTGAGCTCACTCAACTCTGCCACTTCCCAGCCACGCGTCCCGAGCGAGTCACTTTCGCTCTGAGACTCAGTTTCACCCACCAAGTAGGGGTGACAGCCTCTACCCTCAGCCGCCGTGGTAAAGACTCGTTGCAGTCATCAAAGGGGGTAGCCAGCACCCAGCATGGGGACAGTGGATTAGAGTCTCTGCCCAGGCTACCCCTGGCCCTGGGTGCCTCCTGGGCCCAGGGCCTCAGAAGTACCTTGTGCCCCACCTGGGGTCTCTTCAATGGTGGCTGAAGCAGAGTGGAGACCCTAGGTAGGGTGGGCCCACAAAGCAGATCTGGCCGAAGGGTCACTTAAGCGGCCCTAGACACGTGCCTTCGCCATTTCCACCACAGCCGGGTGGGAGGCGGCGGAGGCTGAGAGGTGGGCATCAGCTGCCCAGAGAAAGGCAGGAGTGTGGCACACTCCCGGTTGCTTTTAAGAAGGTCGTGGGGTGGAAATTGTAGGCAGTGGGCCCATCACACAGGGTGAGCATCTGCCAACCTGGAGGCGGGAATGGAGCAGGAGGACAGGGAGGGGAGGCACTATATATGGGGCAATGAAAAGGGAAGGGGGCCGCGGCACCGAGAGCGTGGGCTGGATCCCAGTCCCAGCTCTGCAGTCTTATGATTCTGAGCCCCATTTGTGAAAGGAGGCCAGCTGGGCCCACATCATGGGGTGGTCGGGCATTTGACCTGGGAGCGAGGAAGGGGACTGGCCAGGCTGGGTACCCCCAAGACAGAGCTAATCTGTGCTGCTGGGCCTTTGATGGGAGGGTGAGGGCAAGGCCACACAAAGCTGGTGAGATTTCCCTACAGTCGAAGAAAGGGCACCCGTGTTGAGTCTTGTGGCTGCTGAGAAAAACCCTTTTGCTTGCTTTCTGGTGGGTATGGAAGCTGATCTTCCAAACAAAGATGCCCGCTCCTCAACAGGCTAGAATTCCCCCAGCCCGGGTGTCACGGAGGAGGAGATCCCTTCCCCAGCCCCTCCCCTCTTCATGGATAGACTCCACACTGTCCCCATGTTCCAGCCGCCTGTGAAACATCCTCCACCCCCGAAAGTTCCGCACCTTGAAACAACAGTGGGCCACTATCTCTCATGACCCCCTGGGTTGGCTGGGGTCTCTCCTGTTGCAGCAGAGACAGCTGGGCCTGGAGTCCAAGGTGATGGCACCCTGACATGGCCAGTCAATGTGGCTGTTGGCTGGGAGCTCAGCTGGGGAGCACCTACATGTGGATCTCTGTGCAGCTCGCGCTTCTCCCTGCGTGGTGGTGGGGTTCCTGAAGGGGCACTCCAAGAGTCGCATTCCAACAGGCAGGAAGGGGGAACTGCGGGCCAGTTAAGAGCTACAACCCAGCATGGACACAGCATCACTTCCACCCTTTCCATTGGTCACATCAGTCACAGGGCCCACCCAGAGTCAGCAGGTGGAGAAATAGACCCCAGCTCTCGAGGGGGAACGTCAAGGTCACATTACAGAGGAGCCTGTGGGGTGGGAGTGAGGGTAGTGGCCATCTTGGGGAGCACAGTCTGCTGCTCCCAATCATCATGCTGCCTTTCTCTGGGCTGCTTGAAGTGGCTTTGCCTCCAGAAACAGCCTGTGGTTTTCTAAATCACCCTCCTGCCTTTCTGACCACAAAACCTATTTGCCAACTAGATGGTTTTCCCACGGCTCAATCCAGGCTTTATAAGCAGAGACCATCACATGTACAATCGCCGCGTCCTCAAGGTAGCTTTCCGAGTGGCGTGTCTGGGCCTGCTGTTTGCGAGCCTCCCCCAGCTTACCCCGCATGGTCCGGGCTAGACCTCAGCCGTCAGATGCCGGGGCGGGAGGAGGAGCTGCTGGCTGGCCTCAGTGCCAGGTAACTCAAGTGAAGAGCCTGAATACCTCTCCTAGGACCTGTTCTACGGTCCAAACGCATTTTCTGCCTTAATAAGTAGAGTCTGGGCCAGTGGTTCCCAGGCTGGGCCCTGAGCTGTGGAAGGAACAGCCGGGGATAGAATGTCTTCAAGTGATTCCTAACACAGCGTAAAATGAAGCGAGAATTACCCACCAGCATCGCCAACCAGGACTGGGTGGCCTAACCAAACTGTCGTGTTCCTCACTTTGGGCTGGAATTCTGTCCTCTTGGTTAGGACCCTGGCTGTGTCAGACTGATCAGATCTGCGTGGCAGACGCTGAGAGCTGAGTTAATCTTTCAGTTGGGAAAACTAGGGAACTAAGCCTTAGGTGCAGCTGGCTAGAGAGGTGAGCTCATTCATATCACAGAGTCCAGGGATGAAAAACTGCCTAAAAGAGACCACCCGCCTTAGTGGCCAAGGCAGGTGCTGCCTTTCCTCGCTCTGTAACCCTGGGTAAGTGATTCCCCTCTCTGACCCCTGACCACTCCATCTGTAAAATCGGACAACAGCAGTGACCCGGCCAGCTGGTCACAAGGCTCGGGCGAGACAACCTCCAGGAAGTGCTTGCTCGTCAGCACTGGGCACACAGCAGGGCCTCCTCCACAAGAGGCATCTTCCTTTCTTGGTTACAGGAAGGCTGGGAGCTGCTGGCCCTGTGAGCCGGCCGTGCCCTGTTATTGCGCCCTGTGCCGGGGGGATGGCACCACTGGGCGGCAGGAAGTGCCGGCGGCACTCTGGTCTTCCCTCCTTGCAGGTGGGGCCACCAGGTGAGGGCTCTGGCTGCCTGAGGTCTGCCCCGGTACTAACACTGGGTCCGAGAGTTGGAGATTTGCTGCATGAGAGAGAAACTGTGTGGCTCTTTGTCATCATTTTTTTTTTAACTTTTTATTTTGAGACAATTGGAGGTTCACATGCAGTTGTCATAAATAATGCCCCAGGCACCCTTCATCCGGTTGCCCGCAGTGTGACAGCTTTTATCACTGCAGTACAATGTCACCACCAGGAAACTGACACAATCCACCAACCTTATTCAGATTTCACCCGTCATCCTCGTTTACGTGTCTGTTTAGTTCCATGCAGTGTTATCACCTTTGTAGATTTGTGTAACCGCCGCACAGAGATCCCTTTTATAGCCGCAGCCACCTCCCTCCCCACTCCATCCCTAACCCTGACGACACTAAGCTGTGCTCCGCTCTGTAATTTGGTGTCAAGGTGCCTGTAGACCAGTCATATAGTGTGTAACCTTTCGAGACGGGTTTTTTTCACGCAGGATAATTCCCTCAAGACCCCTCCAGGTGCCGCGTGTGTCAGCCTTTCACTCCTTTTTCTTTACTGCCAAGCAGTGTTCCGCGATAGGGCTGTACCCCGGCTGATTAACCTCCCACCCACTGGAGGACATCTGGGTCGTTCCCAGTTTGGGGCTATAATGAATAAAGCTGCAGTGAGCACTGGTGTCCAGGTTCTGTGTGAACAGAAGTTTTCGTTTCTCTGGGGCAAACCCCAAGAGCGCGCCTCCACCACTCCCGATGAGGTGGAGTCGACCAACCAGGAAGGCCTCTCAGGGGGCTTGCCGTCCCCTTTCCAGGAGGAAGGGGGCTAGTGGACACATGTGCTTTGTCCCACACCCAGCGTGCCTCCTCTCTCCCCTAAACACCGTAGCCGGGCTGCAGGCACCGAGAGCTGGGGAGCTGGCCCATTCCTGGAGTGTAAAAGGTCCTGTTGGCCTCTTATGCCAAGGTATAGGGACCCCTCCCTTCGTGTGACAGCAAGAAGTGACAAGAAGCCCAATAACAAAGCCCTTTCCTCTGAGCCTGCCGAGGGCTGGGAAGGAGAAAGCTGCCCGCATGAGGAGGCCTCTCTCTTGAGGCCGCGCCCCTTCCTCTCACCTCAGAGTCGTGCCAGGCCCCATCTCTTTCAGGGAGACCAAGGGCAAGATGGAGCTGCTGGGCCTCCGGGGCCCCCTGGACCCCCTGGGGCCCGGGGCCCTCCTGGCGACACTGGGAAAGATGGCCCCAGGGGAACAGCAGGCCCAGCGGTAAGAGAGGGCATGGAGTTGGACCACCCAGGACCTGATCCTGTACCTACCAAAAGCCCAAACCCTGATCCCAGAACCAACTGCAAACTCAGCCCTGTCCCCACTCGAAACCTAGACCCCACCCTTACCCTAACCCCAATGTCGACCCAGACCCTTACCCAATCGAACCTTAAATCTAACACTAACCAGCTCCCTAGACCCAATTAAGACCTTGACCTCCAACTCATTTCCTGATCCACACTCCCGATTAAGACTGTTATCCAGACCCTAACTCTCTCCCCTACAGACTCTGACCCTGACTCCAAACCCGACTCTTACCCCTCATTCTGCCCCAAACAGACCCATAGATCCTAACCCTGACCTTGGTTGCAATCTCAGTCCCAATCCTGACCCCACCCTGACTTGAGACCCATATATGCCTCCTTTCTCCACAGGTCTCTACCAACCCCTGTTCCCTACCTCTCCCTCTGATACTAACTCGTTAGCCCCGGTTGTCCTCTCATAGTCCTAACCCAAACCCTGGAGGCCACACGTCATTGTATTACCCCTCTCCTAACCCAGGGACTCCAACTGTCCTTCCCCTCTGATGTGGGGCCAGCACCTCCTCGCTTGGCTCATTCATTCCCTATCACGTTGGGCACATAACTCCCTGAGCCTTAATTTTCTCATCTGTGAAGTGGATGGGGGTTTGGTGAGGATGAAATGAGGGAATGAACTTGGAGCCCCAGTCCAGGAGATGTGGGCTCAGTTACCCTTGGAGTCCCTGCATCCCCTCATTGCTCTCCCCTTATGCCTCCTCAGGGTCCCAAAGGAGAGGCTGGACAAGATGGCGAGATGGTCAGTATCCAGGGCGTTTCAGAGGCCTGGGCTGGCAGCACGATGGCTCCAGGCCCGGAAGCCCCTCTCCCACACGCACCCACACTGGGGTCTTGCCTGCGGCTATACGTGTGCGCACTCCTGCGCTCTTGCCCCCACCAGCAATGGGGAGCAGACAGCCAGGCCCCAGCCCCGCATCCCTGGGAGGGAGGCTGCAGTCCACTGACTGCTTGACGTGGGATGCAGCAGGTGTCCAAGACACCAGGAGTCGGGCCTAGAAAGGGCAGCACAGCCCTGTTCCGGCGACAGCCCTGCCTCCTGCTCTCTGGACTCCGTGTCGCCCTTTATAAAATGAGGATGGCTAGGAAGACAGTCCAGGAGCAGCCTCCAGTGTTTAACACCTTCTCTCCTCTTGTTCCAGGGCCCAAAGGGACCCCCGGGACCAAAGGTGAGTGCTCCTCATTCCTAGTCCCCCACCCCTGGCCTGGGGGGATGGGCTCCCTCACCCCTAGCACCTCTCCCTCCCCACCCCCAAGTTCCATGACCTCGAGCAAGTTACTTTGTCTCTCTGGGCCTCAGTTTACTCATCTGTTAAGTGGGAGCATGATAGACCTTTCCTGCCTTCCCTTCACACTGGGTTGTAAGGATCAAATAGGAAAACATATTAGCTTTGAAAGCCCTCTCCAGATGTCGGCCCTCTCCTTCTCTCCTTGGGCAGCACCTGCTGGGTGGGAAGGCAGGCTGTGGTCGTCCCTGAAGGAGCCAGAGCCCCAGGACTGAGCGGGAGGAAAGGGTGGGGAAGCAGCTCCATTTCGTGAGTAACTGCTGCGAGCCAGGGGCTGTCGACGCATTTCTGTGACGTCACAGCCACCCTCTGAGGCTGAGGGTAGCACATCCCCAGTGCCAGGAGCAGGGACTTGCCCAGCTCATTCAGCTTGGGAAAGACCCAGTCAAGAGTGGAGTCCAAGACTGTCAGCCCCATCACCCACGTGCACCTCTCTGAGGGGCTGAGGGTCTCTGGGCTGTGCCCAGCATGAGTCATCAGGGCCACTTCTACCAGAGGAGCAGGTGGTCTGGTGTCCAGCCATGCTCGGACAGCTCTGACCTCTCTCTTGCTCCCCCACTGTCTCCCCTCAGGGTGAGCCCGGCGTTCCTGGAAAGAAGGTGAGGGGGCCCGTGGAGGGACTTCTTGGTGGGGGTGTGGGAAGAGGCTGGAGGGAAAGGCAGGGCTGGGCAGGTGTCCTGCTCCTCAGCAGACCCAAGCCCTCGCTACGGAGGGCTGTTCCGTCCTCTGTCTCTGAAGTCAGGATCTCATTCATTCATTCACTCACTCATTCGCTCATTCTTTCCCTTCCTCAAACATATCAAATTTATTCCCACTTCAGGGCCCAGGACAGTGGTTCCCAAAGTGTGGTCCCAGGACAAGCAGTGCCAGCATCACTGGGGGCTTTTTAGACTTGCACATCCTGCAGCCCACCCCAGACCCACAGAATCAGAGGCACCGAGGGTGGGCCGGTCTCTTCAGGCAGCCCCCTGGGTGATGCTGACGTGCACTCAAGTTTGAGAACCACTGACCCAGTGATCTTCCTCACCTCTTCCCGTGTCCCGGCCTCCTCCAGCAAGCCCCAACAAAGCTGTCCCCTCCTCCCGGAGACCGTCGCCAGCCACCTCCTGAAGCACACCCTCCCCGAGTCCCTCTCCATCTCATCCTCTTACATTCTCTCCCCGGCACTCCGCCTCCCTGCGTGGTGCTGTGCATTTATCTGGGTGTTTCTTTGCCTTTGGCCTCCTCTGACCCATTGGGCAGGGACCTCGTTTGCCTGGCCGCCAGGGTGCTCATGAGCTATCTGCTGACTGAAGGAATGAATCCCCTCTCCTTCACCTGCCCACCCTTCCTTCTGCACACACCTGCTGAGGCCTGTTCTGGGCTGGCCCTGGGCTGGTGGGGGCGGGGGACAGAGGTGGATCTGACCCCATTCCTGTCCTAGAGGGCCGAGGAAGGGAGAGAGGAGCTGCCCTGACCCAGTGTGACCAGTGCTGGTGCCAGGAGTGGACTGGTGTGCTGCGGGTTCAGAGTAGGGATGGCCAACAGATGGCCTGGGGGCCAGGCCAAGTCTGAGGCTACAGCCTCTGCTGTTCTCTCCTCAGGGGGATGACGGGACACCAAGCCAGCCAGGGCTCCCTGGACCCCCAGGGCCCAAGGTAGGTACATGTCCCTCCTCCGGAGCTCCCCTTGCCTCCCACCACCCACGGTTCCTGTCTGCCCAGTGAAGCCCCTACCTGGCCCTTTCACATCATGGGGCATGGGCTGGCGCCCAGGCAGACCAGAGGGAGGCAGCAGGAAGGCCCTGGGCCCCACTCACCAACAGGCCTGGCATCTCATCCAGACCATTCGCCTCCCCTCATACTCTCAAGTCCTCCTAGTTCCCATCTTAGGTGGCCCACTCTCTGCCCTGTCCCCAAGCCAGGAACTGGCTGTCATCCTTGCTCCCCCAACCCGTTGAGACAGCCACCAAATCCTGTCCAGCCTGCCTCCAAAATGGCTCTTGAGCCCCTGAGCTGCCCCAACTATGCCAAGACGCAGCCCGGAAGGTGGCTGTGGTCCTGGGTCCCCTGGGCAGGAGAGAGCCCTGGGGTCCGTGGTTTCAGACTCGTTCCCCAGGAACTGCTCTGGAAGCCAGCAGACCCCAGCAGCCCTCACACGAGTGTCTCTGCTGCAGGGCGAGCCCGGGAGCGTGGGGCCTCGGGGAGAGAACGGCGTGGACGGCGCCCCAGGGCCAAAGGTGATGTTACCGTGTGCTGCTCCAGCTCCCACAGGCCCCGTTCAGACCGGTGGCTCCGTCATACGGAGGAGATGTGGCTTCACCTCCAATTTGCCCTTTTAAGTGGAGAGTCTCGGGAGAGCCTAGGCCCAGGAGTCTTGTTTGACTGGCCATCAGAGGCTAGCCTGGGGGCAGGTGGCAGTGGATCTGGGTGAGTCACAAGGCCTCCACCAAGGCCCAGCTGTGTGGCTAAGCCACCGCGTAGCCTTGGGCTCCTGGGCTTCAGTGGCCCATCTCTACACAACGTGGGGTCAGAAGAGGGTCCTGCAAGCCCCCCTCCAGGAGCCCTGTTCCTGGGGTGCCAGTCACATATATTAGGCCCTTAGGGCTCCAGCAAATGGACCCTGCCCCTTTGCACCCTTTGGAGAAGAGGGGGCTGGAGAGGGCACGGGAGCCTTGGGCTTCAGCCGTGCACACCTGGCTGCAACCTGCGTCTCCACAGGGGGAGCCTGGCCAGCGAGGCGCCGACGGAGCTGCAGGGCCGCGGGTAAGCGGTCTCCCCTCCAGCCACACCGATGGAATCCAGGGCCCCAGGTCCTTCAGAAGCCCTTGTCCCCAGAGACCCTAGAGGAGCAGCGGAGCTCCAGGAGCTGGGGCTCATTTTTTTCTTTATAATTCATTAGGGATTTTTTTCATTTTTAATCTGGTAATCCGTGCTTTTGGTAAAGTGTTCAAAAGGGATGCGTGTAGAGTCCTGACCTCTCCCATCTTCTCCCCTCCCCAGGCGGGTGTCTGCCTCCGAGACCCTTTTCTCGGCGTATTGCTAGACCTTCAGTTTGTCACATACGGCGTTACCCGGTGCCTTGCCCAACATCAAGGTGCATTCCTGTCGCCAGGAGCACAGCCACCCTGGCTGGTCCCAGATCTTTTGTGACCAGCCCCTGTCAAGACACCTTTAGGTCGACATCCCAGATCCTGTTCTCGGCCCTGTGGCCCCGAGCAGTCATGTCCCCTCATGCTCCCGGAGGCCACTTTCCTCCTCCAAAGAACGGGTCCAAGTCCGCAGCCTGGTCGTGCAGGTGGCAGGGGACGGGATTAGGCGCTGAGTGTGGGGGTTCTGTGCAAACGGTACAGTTCGCCCAGGCCGCGCCCGCGGAGGCACCTGGCCAGCGAGGCCCTGGCCCGGGTCTCTGTCCCTCCGCAAGGGCTGGCCCCAGGCCTGACCCGAGAGCTCACAGCCCCTCCTCGTTCCGGCAGAAAGCTGCCCGGTGGGCGGGGAGGGGTGGTTCAGAGGGGGAGGGCGGGGCCAGCGCGTGCACGTGCCTGTGTGGACAGATGCACACGTGAGAGTGAGGGCGGACGTGAGCTCTTCACCAGGACTGGGTGGGAATGTTAAGACACTGCCGTGCAGCTCTACCAGAGGCTGGGAAACGGAGGCCTGAGGGTGCATTTTTTTACACAGTGTTTTGGAGCGTGTTTTTATTTTTCTTCCTTTGCCAACATTTAAAAATCTGTAGAACTTCAAATCAAAATTAGACTTTCCATTTTTCCTCAAGGACTCAGGGATGGGGCCTCAGTGGGCTTCCATTCCCACAGAAAGGCAATCGCAGCCGCCCCCAGAGCAGGCGGGGGCGTGTTCCTCAGTTGGCGCCTGCCCCCTTCCCCGCTGCGCCCCCTGCCCCGCCCCTGGAGCGTTTTTCCCAGTGTCCGAGTGAATGGCGGAGGGCCCGACTGCCTGGTCCCACCAGGTTCCACCTGAGCCCCCGCACAGCCTTCGTGGGGCCACGATAGCAGGTTCTCTGGGGATACGGAGATGGCCACCACGCGCTGCCCTGACATTCTCCTCTTCCTGCCTCAGGGTCCCGCGGGCCTGAAGGGCGAGCAAGGAGACACGGTGGTGATCGACTATGACGGCAGGATCTTGGATGCCCTTAAGGTAGGGTTCCCGGCAGGACCAGGATACACCCTTGTTCATTTCCTGAGGGAATAACCACTTACTTTGTGTATAAATCTTGCACTTCTTTACACAAGGGACCAGGGGCAGCTTAGCACAAAGACCCCAACTTCACCAGGTGCCTGATAAGGAAATCAGCGCTGTGTTGAAACCCACATGATGCTGAGAGAGCCGCTGTGAATGTGGCCCATGTTGCCCCGAGCTCCACAGAGGCCAAAGTGAGAAGGGAAGCCCCCACCCACCAGGGCGGGAGGCAGAGCATTTCCTGGTGTCCACTCCCAGCAGGGCCTCTTGGGGCCTTCCCAGGGAACACTGGCTGGAAGATCAAGTCTTCTAATGGCCGTTGCGGGAGGATAAGAGTGGCAAGGCCTGCCCCAGGAGCCTCAGGAGATGTGTGGCCTCTGAGCCCTGCCCAGTGCCTGGCAAACTTGGGACCCATTACCAGTGGAAAGAGAGGTTGGGTGCCAGGGAAGGGAGCTGGGGTGAGGGAAGGGTGGTCATCAGAGACCAGATTGGGCATCAGACGCCTGATCCCACCGGAGCTCCAATTCCAATTACCTCCCACAGGCCTCAGGGAAGTACAAGCTGATGGTAACTGTGGCCCCCCAAGGCCTGCACGGTGTGGTGTGGTGTGGCCCGAGGGCGTGCATGTGCATGGTGTGTTCCAGGCTGGCTGGGAGCCACTTAGAGAAGTTCTATGAGTGTGGGGAGGCGGGAAGTCGATTTTGGATGCCCTGTTGGAATGATGATGTCATTCAATGGGCAGTGGGCTGCCCTAGTTGGTTCTTGAGCACAGAGAGGTGAGGTTAAAAATACATATTGGGGGGGGCTGGCCCCATGGCCGAGTGGTTAAGTTCACGCACTCCGCAGCAGGCGGCGCAGTGTTTCGTTAGTTCAAATCCTGGGCGCGGACATGGCACTGCTCATCAGACCACGCTGAGGCAGCGTCCCACATGCCACAACTAGAAGAACCCACAACGAAGAATACACAACTATGTACCGGGGAGCTATGGGGAGAAAAAGGAAAAAATAAAATCTTAAAAAAAAAAAAAAAATACATATTGGGGGAGGGTAGCTGGGGAATGGTTGGACTTTGAATGAAAGTGGGTGTGGGGACAGCTGGAGGCAGGGAGGCCACAGGGAGGTAGGCGCTGGGCCTGGCCCTAGTGGAGGGTGGGTGGAATGGAGGAAGATAGGAAGGCCAGGACATCTCCATGGCGGTGCCAGCAGGAAGGGACGGGTTGTGAGAGAGCCGGAGGGAGAGAACCAGCGCGTGCAGGGCTGAGGGGCTGGCTGGGTGCGGCCTTTAGGAGGAGGCAGGAGTCTGGCAGGTGATGAGCCACGGTGGGCAGGCAAACTGCGGGAAGGCTAGGTCAGGACCGGAGCTTGTGAGTGGGGTCAGACCCACAGACACCGAAGACGCCATCCCCTACCGGTGAGACTCAGGAACCCCTCAGGACCAGCAGGCAGCAGGCAACGGAGTCAACGGTCAGAGTTCATGGGAGAGGCAGGGAGGCAGTGCTAGAGCACTGATGGGGATATGAGTTTTGGCTGGCCTTGAATGCCAGCTTCAAGAGGCAATAGGGAGCCATCGCAGGATCTGGAGCAGCATAGTGTGGTGAAGAAATCTATATTTGGAGGAGACTAGCTCTGAGGGCAGAGGGATTCTGGGCCCTCCATACCCATGGAAGCTGTGATATCTGTGATATCTTATCAGATGCCTGGGGCCACCTGCCTTGCCTCCCTCTAGACACAGGCCCTGACCTGGCTGGGTGGGACGTGGGCTGCAAGGACCCTTGACCCTGCTCCAGCCCAGCTGGACAGGAACGTGGCCCCTGGGTGGAAGGGGTGGGTGGGCAGTGAAGGCGAGCCCTGGCTAGACACTAACTGGCTTGACTTTTGCACACAGGGTCCTCCTGGGCCACAGGGGCCCCCAGGGCCACCAGGGACCCCTGGAGCCAAGGTCAGTGCAGGTGCAGCTGTGTGGCCCCCAAGCCCTTTGTGTGGCCTATCTCTCCTCTCCTCTCTGCCATCCGCCCTCTGCTTCTCTCCGCACGTCCCAGCCTGGCTTCTGGGGACTCAGAGAAAGTGGCCCTGCTCCTTCCTAACCAAGCTGGCTGCCTTCCTCCTGGCCCTAGCTGCTCTGCTCCCTGGGAAGCCTCATCCACACGTGTGCACCCATAAATCAGCCCCTCGGGACACCACAAAGTCCCTAAGTTACAAGGCCATTCCTGCGGCCTGCGTGTATCCTTTACACCCTGCCTACTTGGCTCAGGAGAAGGAGCCCAAGACTTTGAAATCAGGCAGCTCTGGTCCCAGCCATTGTCCCTGGGCAGTGTGGCCTGGAGCAAGTCATTTAACCTTCCAAGCCTCAGCTTCCAAATCTGCAACCTACCAGCCTGTAGATCACAGCCCTGGGCTGCGTCTGCCCGTAGGGGCTGAGGAAATGGAGGGGCGGAGGTGGCTGGCACCTGGCACAGTGCTGGGCACCCAGTGGGCACCTTCCTGGAAGTCTAACTGCGGGGCCTCGACTAGGGACGTGCACTGGTCTGGGAGGCAGCAGGGCCACAAATGCCTCCCCGGGCCCCAGGACGCCATGATCTCCCTTGCTGTCTCTTCCCTTCCAGGGTGAACTCGGACTGCCCGGTGCCCCGGGAATCGACGGAGAGAAGGTCTCTGGGCCTTTCTTTTCCTTGGTGATGCTGGTGCCTGGTGTCGGGCTGTGTGTGTGCGTGTGTGTGTATGTGTGTGCACACGTGCACACACACACAGTTGAAGAGAGGCCACAGAACAGAGTGTGCGAGTCCTGGTTCTGCCCTTAGGCCTCGGGCAGGCTGCTCACTTTCTGGCAGCCTCGGTTCCTCACCCGGAGGTGAGGTGGTTACGGCTGTTGTGAGGGTTAACCGACTGCATGTGGAGAGTGCAAGAGCAGTGCTGGCCCGTGTGGTGAAGAGCCTCTGGACCTCAGCTAACAGTCTTCCTGTCACTGTTAGTGCTGTTATAAGCATGTGCGTGTGTGCAACCCCACATCAACACCACAGTGTCCAGGCTGTCACTTTGCGTGTGTGGGCATGTCTTTGGCGCTGGTCCCTGGTGTGTGGCACATCTGGGACATGACACAGTTGGTGGAGTAAGGAAACAGAGTGGCTGGAGGGTGACTGGGTGGATGGTTGGTTGTATGTGGGGGTTGGGGGCTCTTGAGATGTGAGCTCAGGGTTGTCCCTGAGCCCTGTAAGTGCCCCTCGGTGGCTGCCCCGCCCCCTAGCTCCAGCCTTTCACTGCGGGCAGTGAAGCAGGAGTGGGGGCGCCCCTCCCAGTCTCCATGGGCCCCTCAGTGCATTCGCCACCTGGGCCGGAGACAGGACCCACGAGGAGGAAGTGGGGGTCTGGCCTGGCCAAGAGTAAGCGCTGGGGACTTGCTGGGGTGGAGGAAGAGAGAATGCCTACTGAGCCCACTGACCCCTTGTTCTTGTGGCTTTCAGGGTCCCAAAGGACCGAAAGGAGACCCAGGAGAGGCTGGGCCGACCGGACCCAAAGGGGAAGCAGGAGAGATGGGCCTGTCGGGCCTCCCGGTATGTGCCACTCGTGGGTCCCAAGGTGAAGGTGTGCCCACCACAGCAGCTGCTGGGGCTTGGACCCTGCGGTCGCAGCCCAGCCCGCAGCCACTGGGCCTGCAGAGGAAAGCTCTGGGCTCCCAGCCCACGCTGCTCAGACTCTCTGAGCCCCCATTTCTTTGTCTGTAGAGGGACCTACCCCCACCCCCTCCCCGCAGGCCTCTGTAAAGATGAAGTCAGGACTGCCCCCCCCCCCCCCATGGAAGTGAGTTGGCAGGTGGTTAGGCCGCACTTTGGCTGCACAAGTTTGCATCCTGCTCCATCTCCTGTGACTCTGGAACCCTGCACAAGTGACCAACCTCCCTGGGCCTCAGTTTCCTCGCCTCTGAAACGGAAGTGATGACTTCCCACTCCTGTGAGGGATGCGCAGACAGCGCTGAGAACGGTGGCTGGCAGGCGATGTGTACCCGCCGTCCCCATCATCGCCATTTTGATCGTTACTCTTGCCGTGGCTGGATTGGAAGAGCTGCCAGGTGTAAGCAGCCACTGGATGCCACTGCTTCACAGCCGCTGTCTGTCTGTGAGGCTCACTCAGCTGCAGAGGTGGTGCTGGGGTTTGGACCCGGGTCTTTGCTTCCAGAGCCCCTGGTTCCCCCCTCCCACAGGAAAACTAACAGTTACGCCGCTGTCGGTGTGGTCTTTAAATACCCGCTGTGCCGGGCACCCAGGGTGTGTCACGCTGATTTAGGGAAAACTGCTTTAAGCTGCAAAGGCCAACTTATTGCTGCGGCCAGAAGGGGGAGGGAAGGGGAGGTACTGAGCGCTGTGAGTGGTGATTTTGATGATGAACACAAAGGGCTCACAGGCCATCCTGTCCTGCAGGGCGCCGATGGCCCCAAGGGGGAGAAGGGAGAGCCAGCACCTGACAACCTACAGGAGAGCCTGGTAAGGGAGGCTGCTGAGGACCGGGGTCCCCCCCTACCACCCAGCCCAGGCCGTCTGGGCCCCGAGCCTTGGGACAGAAGGGCCACGTGGCCTGACCAAGCCCAGGGCAGTGGGGGAGGGGGAGAGGGAGCCTCAGGCTGTGTCCTCTGCCCAAGACCTGTCTGAGAACCCAAAGGCCAGCCGCAGGGGACAGTCAGTGTCCTCCTGGGGACAGGAAGGAGCCTCGACCCAGTGGCTCAGGGCCCAGAGCCCAGGCAGTGCTCCTCCAATGTCCAATGAGCTCAAGAACGTGGGCAGGTGAGAGATGATGGGGCAGTGGGTGACTAATCCACCTCTGACCCCTCCTAGGCCCAGATCATAGTGGAACCAGGGCCCCCCGGCCTCCCTGGTCCCCCAGGACCCATGGTAAGCATGTCTGACTTGAAGCAGCTGGGATATGAAAAGGCTGGTGGGCCCGGGTCTGGGGGCTGTGCCCAAGAGGAGGACGGGACTCTTGTGGGGAGGGGGCATATCAGGCAAGGAAGGCCTGGCCAGGGTGTGTGCTTGGGAGGCCACAGAGGTCAGGGCCACAGAGGGAGTGAGTGGCCTGTAAGCCTTCATGGCCACTGCAAGGCAGCCCTGGCCCTGAGGTCTGGGCTCAGCCCAACGGCCTTTCTGATCCGCTCTCTCCTCCTCCAGGGCCTTCAGGGAATCCAGGGTCCCAAGGTGAGTTCTGGGGCGTAGACGGAAACCCCGCTACTGACGGCCAACCCACAACCTGGACAGTTCCAGAAAGCCCTGCTAATGGGCACAGTGAGGGCCCACACTCAGCCCAGACCAGCTCCACGTCTCCCCAGGGCTGAACATTCCCTGTCTCCGGGAGCACGACTTCCCTGATGTCCTTGGAGCTGGTGGCCCCACCCCCACGCTCAGAGCTCTGTTCTTTCACCTTCTCCCTCTGCCAGGGGCCCCAGTCCACTGCTTCCACCTCCCTGCCCCACACCTCCACCTTTCTCTGTGCCTCCCCCTTCATTGCCCTCTCCCCCGACGCTCTCCACATGCACAGCCTGGACGTGAAGTCTTAGGTTTGTGTATTACATAATGCCATGTCTTCTGCTCTTGAATTAAACTGTGAGGGTAGCCTGCCCGTGTGCCCTGTTCTGGGGGCCGACACAGAAGGGGAGGCCAGCTGCTTGCCGCACCCAGCTTCTCTCGTTTCTGCTGGGGGAGAGCACGTCTCTGCTTCCCCAGCTCAGAGGCCAAATAGCGGACTCAGTCATGGTACCCCAGCACTGAGTGGGGCCGAGCATGTGGCCAGACCAGATGCGCTGCTTCTGGTCCTGTTTTGTCCCAAGGCCTCCCCAGATCATGTTTAGAAGAGGCAGCTGCAGTCAAGGATGGGGGCAAAGCCTGGGGCTCAGAAAGCCGGTTGGTACTTGGCCCTGCTGCTTCCTGGCTGTGCAGCTGGGCCGTCCCTCCCCATGTGTCTCTTTCCTCATCTGTGAAATGGGTGTGACCACAACCATCGTCTGTGATTCCTGTAAGAGCCTGTGTGTGGGGAAAGGTAAAACGCACACACCCACAGCTCATCCTGATTATTTGTACAGGAAGGAAGCGGGGCCAGGCCTGTCAGAGCCTGGAGTCTGTCCCTCTGGCCTACGCACCCCGGCTCCCACTCAGGCTCCAAGCTTTCCTGTCCTGCTGTCTGACCCCTTCCCCCTGACTGATGTCCTCCCTTCACTTCCAGGGCTTGGACGGAGCAAAGGGGGAGAAGGGCACGTCAGGGGAGAGAGGCCCCAGCGGGCTGCCTGTGAGTATCGTGAGCCTTGTTTGTCCTTAGAGGCACTGATTCCTGTGACTGTCATGCCTCTTGACCCATTCCTTTTCCATCCAGGGGCCAGCTGGCCCGCCAGGCCTTATTGGGCTGCCAGGAACCAAAGGAGAGAAGGTAACCACCTTCCTTTAATGCCCCCAACCATTGCTGCACGTCCATGGTGTTACTCAGCCCTGGGGGCTCAACCCCTGCCCCTCACTAGTCGCAAGGCCAGAGTTCAGGCCCTGTGGACAACTCACAGGCTGAACTTCCAGCAGCTATGCTCCCAGCATCCCCTTCCCAGTCCCCTCACATCTCCTCTTTGTCTCTCCTCAGGGCAGACCCGGGGAGCCAGGACTAGATGTAAGTATCTCACTGTTTACTGTGATCAGGTCCCTCCTGTGTGCAGCTTCTGCCCTCCTGCTGCCCATACAGGAACCTGATCTGGATGGCTTGGGGATGACCCCCTTCCCCAGGGCTGGGACTACAACTGAGCAATTCTCCCTGTGTCCCCAGTGCCAGGTCCAGGGCACAGCCCCAAATAGGTGCTTTATGGACGGATGGATGGATGGATAGATGGATGATGGATGGATGGATGAATGATAGGTGAATAGATGATGGATAAAGGATGGATGGATGGCCGATGCCCTGGAGCAGGGAAGTGGGAAGAGCAGTGAGGAGCCTGTTGCAATATCCTGCTGAGAGATTATGAGGCTTCAGCTAGGGCAGTATTGTGGGAAGGAAAGAAGGGGAAGTATTAGCCCAATGTTGCTTGAATCAAGTGTCTTTTAGTTGCCAGAGACAGAAAATACCGTTTAAACTGACTTATAACTGAAAAATCCAGAGGTACAACACATGGATCCAGGGCTCAAGTGTGTCAATACAACCCAACCTCTCACCCTCTCTTGTCTCTGCTTCCTCTGTGTGGGCATCTTTCCAAGTTCAACATGATGATGAGATGGAGCCAACAGCTCCAGACTTGTATCCCCGCCCCCACGACCAAATCCTGGAGAAAGACTATTTGCCTCACGCTCTATTCTTTTAGGAAAAGTCTCACCAACTCTCATTGGCCTCAGTTGGGTCCATGTTCGAAAGTCCCTTGGCCATTGGAATGCAGTGCCCCACCTGGCCAGCTCACATGCTCTGTCCTGGAGCTGGGGGTACAGTCAGTGGATTGTGAGAAGGGAAGGTGGTTCCCAGGAAAATCAGGTAGCTATTGCAAGGGAAATGGTGACCAGACGCAGGGCTGCAAGGACTCAGGTGTCCACCCTAGACTTTAAGGAAAGAATGTCATCTTGGAGAGCAACCACAGACAAGGAAGAGGAAGAACTCTAACCTGAGTTTCTGACTGCAAGGGCTGTGTTCCATCAAAGAGAAGGGTCAGGAGAAGAAGACAACACTGAGTCCAGTTCAGGCTCTGGACCCAGGGAGGTAGTGGGGTGGAGCTAAAGAGACTCCATGCCACCATCGATGTGGCTACAGCTGCCTCCTGGGAGACACGGAGCTAGAGTGGCATCTCAGAGCCACACCCAACAGCTCTACCTTGCAAACTCTTGGCCCCGTGCCCACCCCACCAGGCCCAGCTGAAATGAGTAGTCTGCTCAGAAGCTTTCCCTGACCTCACATCTGGACAGAACAGCTCCTTTCCCTGGGACTCCACAGCCTCTGGTCCACACCTCTGTCACTGAGCATTGATCATCTCCTGCTCCCTATTGCCTGCCATGTTAGATATGAGGGCAGTGTCACATTTGGACACATGCGGTTTTAATTTATGGAGATGACTGAGTGGTGACACGGAGAGGTCAATGCCCTTGAAAGAAGAGTTCATTACTTACACTTCCTGAGAAAAGGCCATGCCACTATGCAGGGCCACATGAGGGAGCACCAGCTTTGGTCAGGAGGCAGAAAGGAGCAGGGGAAAGCCTAGGCCAGAGTTTTTGTGGGGTTTCCATGGGAAAGGCAGGGCAGAGTAGCCAGCTTAGGACTGGCCAGTTGGAATAGCTCTGGCAGGCTTTGGGCTACAGGGTTGGTCTCTGGTTTCCTGGTACCTGTTCCTGAGATGATTTAGGTCAGGGGAAGTATTGGCCTGGCGGGTGAGAAGCACATAAAGGAGGTGGTTGGGACATTGGTTGGTTTGCATATGAAAGGGGTACCTCCAGACTAGCCCTTTGCTGTCTCTAAGAACTGGCCTGCCCTGGGAGGGGCAGCCTCTCCCTGGCCAGCAAGATTTTTAGTATGTCAAAACATCATAAGATACAGAAAATTTAAAAACATAATTTAATATAAGAGGGAACACATCGTATTTCTCTGTCCCCAGCATCCAGCCCACAGCCCAGTTCCTGATGGATGCTTAGAAATATTGGTTGGATGATGGACAGGTGGACAAATGGACAGATGGGTGGGTGGGTGGGTGGACAAGAGTTTGAGCCAAGGGTAGAGAACAGAGGTTACCATTTCTCCGTCTGTCAAAGATGGTAACAGAAACTTCCACGGGTTTCCTGGGTCTCTGTCCCCAGCCAAGCCTGGGCCAGTGCCAGCTGCATCTGACTGTGCCATGGGAGAAAGCCCCTTGCTAGCGGCTGTGCCTGAGGGCTTCCATCCAGAGACTCTGACATGTTCTACTTTGGAGGAATCAGTGCTGGTGTCCTAAATGCATGCTTTTCCCTAAATCAGCCTTGTCCCCAGCATATGTGTCACCTAGGAGCTGGGGCTGCGCCAGCTGGTACCACACACATGCATGGAAGGGAGGGGACAGTGATGGATGGGAGAGCAGCAGAGATGAACAGTCAACCAAACCTTACTTCCCGGTTTAACCTTTATTCCTTTTGTCAGGGTTTCCCTGGACCCCGAGGAGAGAAAGGCGACCGGAGCGAGCGTGGAGAGAAGGTGGGGCAGGTGGAGAGAAGAGGGGGCAGCCGGAGAGGAGATAGGGCAGGGGGAAAGAAGGAGGGAGTAAACAGAAGCAGGCAGCGAGAAGGCGGGGCGGGCGGGGAGGAGGGGACGGGCAGAGGCTGGGCAGGGCAGGCCAGGCCAGGCCAGGGCTGGCTGCTGGGCCCCAGTCCCATCTCTCCCAGGGGCTGGAGGCATCCTGAGCCTGACAGCCGTGACCACACCCCCATCTTCCTCCTTGTACAGGGGGAGCGAGGCATCCCTGGCCGCAAGGGAGTGAAGGGCCAGAAGGGCGAGCCGGGACCGCCGGGCCTGGACCAGCCCTGTCCTGTGGTACGTGTCAGAGCAGGATGGGAGCCCCAGGCCAGGGCCACCGTTGCTGTCACTGCCATCATGCAGGCTCCTCTGGCTCTGGTCTGTCGTCATCCCCGTGCCACTCACCCCAGCATGGCTCGGGGGACCCACCCCTCCAGAGAGATGGAGGCCTGGCCAGGGGCAGAGTCTGTTGGCTGGGGTCACTGCCCCTCTTACTCAGCTTCCGCGGCCACAGGGGGTGGGACCACCCTGACGCTCTGGATGTCTATCCATAGTCCGGGAGGAGGCTTCTGCTGGTCTGGATGGCCCCACCCTGTCCCCCTGCGTCTCCTCCATGTGCCCCTTCCCTGCCCACCTCCCCACAGCCTTTCTCCTTTCCTGCTCTCTCACAACAGCCGCTGACGGCCCACCCGGCCCAGTGCCTGAAATAACCGCAATTCAGTTCCCTTTTTCCAGAAGGCAGGGTAGGTTTACGGGTCAAACTCTTCCAGTGGAGCTCAGAAAAGAGAGGAAAGACAGACAGCTGAGTTTCCACACTAAAACTGACCAGATATTCCTGCCAGGGCGTGAGGAGAGGGGCCTCCAGCCATGATGTGTGCAGGCCACCTTCCAAAGAGGGCCATGGACCCCCAGGCACAGTCCTCTCACCTCCAGTGAGTCACATTAGCCCTCTGTTCCTCAGTCTCCTCATCCATGCAATGGGGGTGCTAAACCCCACCTCCAGATGGTTTCGAGGAGGCAATGAGAGAGGCATGAAGAGCAGAGTGGTAAGCACCCACAAAAGTGCCAGGGACAGTGGGAGGACGGGGCTGGCCCAGCCTTGCAGCTCCAGGCTCCCGGCCAAGACTTCCCTCCAAGTCATGAAGCTTTTGTCTTTGAAACAGGAGAATCCTAAATGCGGAGGCAGGCGAGGGGCACCGGGCTCGAGGGGCCGCGGGCCCTGCCCTGTGGTACGCGGTCTGCCTGGGTGTGCTGTGCTGTGCTGGCCTCCCTGCCTGTGCCCGCTGCTCTGCCCGCCCTTCCTGCAGCCCACCTGCCTTTGCATTCCACCCTCCTCCCTACTTCCCTTCCGGCCCAGCCTGTGCCCGTGGATGCACGGGCTTTCTGGGGGTGTGCTACGCGTGTCTGAGCCCCAAGTGTGCCCTGAAACAGAGTGAAGTGTTTTCCAGCACAGAGCCCCCCAGGGACCCCAGGCTGACTGCCTCAGGCCACCTGAGGAAACCCACCCCTGCTTGCGTCTGATTGCTGAGCCTCCAGACAGCCCCCACCCCTGGCCCAATTTCTGCCCTGACGGCCTTAGCCCGCCCTGTCTGCCGCTCAGGTCCAGACACAGGGACCGGGACAGACCAGAGGGGGATCCTACTTCCTGGACTGTCCTTCAAACACTCGGAGACATTCCTGAAAGTTCTCAGGCCACCAGTGTGAGGGGCCAGAGCCACTGTCACAGCTGCCAGGCAGGAAGCCATGTAGCCCCTGGAAAGGGCCAGGGCCATGCCTTGCTCCTGGTCACTGGATGTCTGACGTGATGTCCGCTACTCGTGTCCACGTTCTGCCCACTGCACACGTGTCCCAACAGAGGCCCCATGGGGGAGCACTCAGAACAAGCATAGTAAGGGGCCACTGTGTCCCATGCCCCAGCTACCCAGGTGGACAGGGCAGGCATCCAGGCCCTGCCTTAGTGGGGTCTAGTGGCCCCGTGTGGCAGCTCCCTGGGCCACACTTCCCTACACACGGGGCAGGAGTGTGGGCTGCAGAGAGCGGGCCAGCCCCCTTCTCCGGCACTGAATTCTTCTTCCTTTCCAGGGCCCCGATGGGCTGCCCGTGCCTGGCTGCTGGCATAAGGTACCGTGCAGGGAGGAGTCCCCAGGGCAGGCTGGGGGAGGAGGGGCCCTGGGACAAGAGGATAGAGGGGCATGCCTGTGCCTGAAGAAGTGCGCATGACGGGGCGGGGCGGGGGGAAGGGCTCACAGCTCCCTCCTCACCTTCAGTCTCCCTGCTTTTCCAGTGATCCCCAGCACCCGGCTCACAACCTGTACAGATTCGTGTGGACGTTTTTAATTTTTGTAAAAACAGAACAGTAATATATTGATCTTTCTTCACGGGATGCACCACGTGTGGCCTTTTAACATTTAAGAGTGTGCCCAGAACGATCTGCATGTGAGGCTGGCAGGAAAGTGGATGGGCAGACAGGGGGATTGTGTACTTGAGGGGCACCTGCAGGACTTGACCTTTCCAAGAAGGAGGGAGACGAAGGTGAAAGTGCCTGGCCCAGGAGAGGCTGCCAAGGGCTCGGGTGGGGCCTTCAGCCACTTGACTAGCAGAGACTCCGGCTGCCACACTGCCCTACGAGAGCCTGCCCCCTGAAACTCTGAGCCGCTGGCGCTCACCCCATCCAAAAAGGCCCAGGGCTTGGACAGCAAATGCAGCTGCTCCCGGCCTCTCTGGTCTCTGGCCTCTGGCCTCAGCCACAGCCACCTGCCTACCCTCTCAGGCCCCCTGGGCCCTGGGTTCACCAGGGCAGGACAAGACTCCTGCCTGGCACTTGCAGCTGGATGCTGGGAGCTGTGGGAAGCGCCCCGAGCAGGTCCAGCTGCCACCAAGCTCAGGAGGCCTCCGGAGGCCAGCCTGCATGAGAACACGTGTACCCCGGCCAGGAGCAGAGGCCAAGCGCTGTGATCGCCGCTACGTGGACCCAGCTGCAGGGAGCCCTGTGATTCCCAAATGTGGAAGACAGCAGGCCCCAGGCTAGAGTGGCTGCTGCTTCCTGTCTCCACACGCCCCGGAGCAGGGACTTGAGACTTTGCCAGCCTGAGGAGATGGACCTCCAGCTCAGAGTTTGGGTCTCACTAGCCCCAGGTCTCCCACCCAGGAGAACTCTGGTCAGCCTGCCAGAAATGGTCCTCCAGGTGAGCTGTGCGGACGGAGAGCCTCAGGGCTGGTTCCAGACAGCCAGAGCAGGGTGCCTGTGACCTGAGCCGCCAGTGCTCTGAGAAGAGGCTTCGCCACCTCTGACAAGGGTCCCAGCTGCCAGCCCTGGCCTAGCTACTTGCCTCCCTTCTCTGTGTAGATGGACATTGCTGTGTGTAATAAACCACAAATGTGTGTCAGGGTGTGCCTGTCCTTGCAGACTGCCCCTGGGGCACCTCTGGGTGAGGTTTCAGCCTGGCCATTGCTGAGTAGGGACAAAGGGACCCCCACCCCGGGTCCGACCCGCCCCAGAAACCAGAGGAAGTAGATCAGGGTCAGACTCAAGGCCTGGCCCTGCCAAGTGTTAGCTGAGCTCCCTATCCAGTCACTCACGCCATGAGCCTGTGTGCTCCTCTGATCCCCTAGTCAGTGACTGCCGCAGGACAAATCACCCCAAAACTTGTTGCCTGAAACAACCACCCTTTCTATCTCTCTCTCACAGTTCTGGGGGTACAGGGCTTAGCTGAGTAGTTGTCGCTCAAGCTCCCCCTCACCGAGCAGCTGATTCTGGCTGTCAGCTGGGACCCCATGTGGCCAGAACACTTCTCTGTGTGGTCTGGGCTTCTTCCCAGCATAGCTGCTGGGCTCCCAGGGCGAATGTCCCAGGTGGAAGCTGTGTCGCCTTTTATGGCCAAGACTCAGAAGTCATCAGGTTATCACTTTCTGCCAGGATCAGAGGTTTGCCCTAATTCAAAGGAAAAGTGGCAGCATTATATTTTAAGGAGAAACTGTGGGATAGTAGATCTTGTTGCAGTCATTTTAGAAAACTCAACCTGCCACCACATCTGTAAAATGGGACGGCGAGGCTTACACTCAGACTGTGGTTTAGTGAGAACCAACTGCATAGAGCACGAAAAGAACCTAGGACAGGTCAGGCACCCAGAGGCGCCCAGGGTTCTGACTTCCCTCTCTCCTCCCTACTCCAAGACCAAGCAAGGGCCACAGTCTTGCAGGGCATTTCTACATCTCTCATCCCAGCTGGTCCTCACAACCCTGAGAGACAGACCCAGCAAATGCACTCGTTTCACAGATGACAAAACCAAGCACAACCGGGGTGGCGTGGACAAAAAGGGACCTGCAGTGACAGTGTCTCAGGCCTTCTCCTTCCAAGGACTGAGGCCTCGGGAGGCCACAGTATGGGTAGAAGAGGCCCAGCCACACACTGGCTAAGGAAGAGGAAGGTGTCAAGTCCCTGTCTGTCTCCCTAAGTTGCTGACGATAAGTGGCAGGCCACACCACCCGGCCAGTTGTCTGGGTTACCAGGGAAGACAGTAGTGTGAAAAGGAAGAGAAACACAGTGGTGCCGTGACGACTAATGGAGATCACTAGGTGTCCCAGTGTCCTTTGGAGTTCCAGCATAACCTCACAGATCTACTGCACTCTACAGTTTGTAATTCGCTCCCCCCTCGACCCAGGTACCTTGCTGGATCCCTTCACCAGTCCTGTGAAGGACAAAGCCTATGTGGTTGGTGTTACTATTTCCACCTTACATATGGGGAAACTGAGGCTCTGAGGAGTGAGTCACCTGCCCAGGGATGCACAGCCAGGATGTGGTGGCAGGCTTGGGACTGGACCCAGGCTCTTCAATGTCCTCCAATTTGTCTTTCTGAAATTGCTTGGCAGGGCGTGGAGCCTGCTAGGCAGCGCCATGAGGCTGGTGATTGGCAGGCAGATCCTCATGGGGGTAGAGCCAGATGTTCCCCTGTCCCCAGACACTGGAGGGGGTCCCTTTCCTACTCCTCTGGGGAGGACAAGGCCATTCATAGCCCTTTGCTGCCTCCTTGTGGCCTCATCCTGGGTAGCCTCAGGTCTGCAAACGTTCAAACATCAAAATTTAGAGCCCGCAGTCCCCCCAAGAACAGGAGACTACAGAAGAGTGAATAACTTGCTCAAGGTCCCAGCTGAGACACGGCGAGCGCCCTGCCTCACAGCTGACCCTCAGGGACTGAGGGGCCTCCCGCCTCCCTGCCAGGAAGGGCAGCTCTGCCTCCAGCTGTGCCTGCTGGGAGAGAGGGAAGCACACGGACTGAGCCTGCTGTGTGCCATGGCAGCCAACCACAGGGATGACCGTCCCCTTTGCAGATCAATCTAAGGCCTGAGAGGAGGGGGCTTGCCCAGGTCTCCTTCCCCCTGAGCCCAGGATACTGCCTGGGACACTTTCGATACTTGCAACGATCACGGGACACTCTTGGCATTCCCGTGGGCAGGACCAGGGATATCACACATCTGAAATGCCTAGGACAGTCCAGCCCAAGGATGAACCATCTCGCCAAGAAGGCCATGCCGCCTGCATCAAAAAACACCATGCCCTGGGTTCAGATCTCGACTCAGCCATTTCCTCCCATTCCCTGCCCTGCTGGCCTCCAATGGCACCTCGAAGGCCAGGCATGAGACAATGGACAGAGCAGTGCTTAGCATCGGGCCAGAGACAGGAAGGAGGGGGCTTTTTGGAGCAGGAAGAAGGGGAGGCATCCTGTTGTCATCCTGTCCCTGTTACAGATACTCTTGGTCCAGGAAATGGCCCAGCCTGGTCTAGCCTCCAACTGTATTCCTTCCTGATCCTGGCCATCCCGGGAGTGGGTGAGATGTGGGCTGGGCATGGCTGCAGCCCTTTCACCCTCCACCCAAGGCAAGGAAAGCCCCTGAGCCAACTTGACTTCTCTGCACTGCCCTGGGCCACAAGACAGGCTTGTGTTTGGGCTCAAACAAGGCTAAAGACGGGCCTCAAACAGGACTCTCAGACCGTTCCCTGCCACTCGCCAAGCACACACAAGCACCAAACACGTTAAAGCTGGAACTGCAGGGCGCAGCCACCTATGGGTCTCTCCACCAAAGAGGAGCAGATCCACTGAGAAAGCCAGCAGCCTCGGTCCCACACTGTCCACACACAGGCAGTGGGTCTTGATTCTCAGAAAACGAGTGCAGGCTGCCAGCAACCTCTCTCGGTTAATTTGGCAGGAATTTTTTTTCAAGATTCACACCTAATGTTCAGTTCAGCTTTACAACTAAAAATAAGAAACTCCATTCGGTTTGGGATGAAAAAATTCTGCAGATGGATGGTTGCACAACATGAATGTACTTAAAGGCACTGAAATGTACACTTAAAATTGTAAATTTTGTTATACATGTTACAATAAAAAAATGAAACTCCGACCGTTCTCTATTACATGCCTTTGGCATTTTACGGTTGTATGGGGGAAGAGAGATGAAGAAGACAGCAAGGAGGGAGCGAAGCAGAGGGCTGAGAATCACAAAAAGGAGACAGAAGAAGGAGCAGCAAGCGCCTCCCCCTCCCAGTCCACCCAGGCCCCCCAGCTTCGGCCGCAAGTCCTGGTCCTTGCTCCAGGGCCCCGGCCCAGGAGGGGAGCTCTCTCTGCCATCCCGCGTCCCAGCCCCTGGGTGCCACTTCTCACTCACTGGGCTGGGGGGTCTGACAGATCCGAGTTGGAGTGCAGCCTCTGTGGCAGACTTGCTGTGTGTCTGGGAACAAAGCCCTTTCCCCTTCTGGGCCTGGGTTTCCTGGCCATATACTAGAAGGGTCAGGGGCCTCCAGATCTCTTCCTGCCTAAACACTGCATGATTCTCAGTGTAGACGTATCTCCTGTTCACCGGCCCGGACGCAGCAGGAGTCGTGCTGCCCCGAAGGTCGCCCCGTGGCCTCCTCCGCCAGCCCAGGAGGCGCCCTGCGCCCGCGTCGGCCCTTCCCGCGGTCCCTCCCCGGGGCCGGACCAGCTTCGCCTCCTCCGCCGACGCCCAGCCCCGGCCGGCCCGCGCACACTCCCCTTTTATGCTCGGCGAGGGCGACTCGAAGACTGAGCCCAAGGCCCCGGGGGGCCGCAGGGCCGGAGGGCGAGGCCCGGAGCGCCTGGGACGGAGGGCGGGGCAGCGCCGGAGAGGCGAGCACGACGCGGCTCCCCGCGCCGACTTCCGGGGCCGCCGCGTCCCGAGCGCGCGCCAGGCGGGGGCGGGGCCTGGGCGGAGCGCGCGCTTCTCCGCGCCATGGCGGCCGACCGGCGCGGAAAGGCCGCGACGCTGGCCCTGCGGCGGCGGCTGCTCAGGTACCGAGACGGCGGCGCGGGTGGGGCGGCGCGCTCGGGGCACGCACGGCGCACGCACGTCCGGCCCGGAGCCCGCCGAGCCCGCCGAGCCCGCCGAGCCCGCCCCGCCACCCGCGGGTCCCGCCGCCCCCGGCTGTCGCCTCCCGGCTCCCCGCCCCGCTCCCCACCCACCCCCGCTGCGGGCTGCCTCTGCCCCGGCCCCGGGGAGGAGCTCCCGGCGGCGGCCCGCCAGCAGGACCTGGCCCTGGCCTGAGAGCGGCGCGCCCAGGGGCCGAAAGCGCAGACGGGGTTGGAGGGGGTCGTCTCACAGGCAACCTGGAGAAAGGCCGCCGGGACCCGCGAGGGGCTCTCAGGGGGACACGGTGGCCTCTGACTAGAGGTTGGAGGTGGTCCCCAGCGGGGCGCCCTCCATCAGCCGCCCCGGGAAGGAAACTGCCTTCGGGAGCCCCCGGGGGTCTGGGGCGGCCACCTGTCCTGGGCCCCGGCGACTGGTGCGGCCATGTAGCCTTCAAGTGACTTAAGCACCTTAAGTTTTAGCAACTTCTTAGCCCATCCTTTTCCTCCTTTCCAGCCACCTACGGAGGGGGGGACCGGAGGCAGGGAAGCAACATCCTGCCCTTGGAGCTTTTGTCCTTTCCAGAAACTGGAAGGGGTGGGGGAGGCTGGTGATGGGGGGACTCCTCCCTTCAAATCTTCAGACATGGCTGTCCGCTCTTTGCCTGTCCCCGCAGCTCTTCCTGCAGACTCTTTTTCCCCGAGGATCCTATTAAGATTGTGCGGGGCCAAGGGCAGTACATGTACGATGAACAGGGGGCAGAATACATCGACTGCATCAACAACGTGGCGCACGGTCAGTATCACACCTCAGGCTGGCGTCAGGAGAGCAGGCGGAGGCTGTGGACCCGGCCAAGGGTGACCGAGCCTCAGGTCGCAGAGAGTGCAGAGGACTTGGGGTCAGCTTAGCCAGCATCCATGTTCGAGGAGGCCCGGTCTTTCTGGTGTGGCTCTAGAAGTTTCTGAGCAGCAGCTGTGCTGAACTGGGCAGGAGCCAGAGACTAGGTCTGGGGGTCCAGTTCCACTTGGGACTGATGGTGAGCTCAGAGAGCAGCAGTCGGCCCAGCCATGAGCAGCCATGCAGCAGGGCCCGGCCAAGTGCTGGGCCTCGTGGCGGGGCTTCAGCCCCAGTGACCATCTCAGAACTCAGTTACCCAGATGGGGTGGCCAGAGCTGATGGAAGGAAGGGCAGTCTGAGACTCGGCAGGCAGATTGGAGGTTAATGAAGAAGTTAAAAGCAGGGGCTCTAGTCCCAGACTGCCAGGGTTCACGCCCCTGTCCTCCACTTACTAACTTTGTAATCTTGGGCAAGTTACTTAATTCTCTGTGCCTCGGTTTGCTCATCTGCAAAATAGACATGGTAATACTAGGTACACACCTCCAGGTGTTTTGGAGGATTAGTGAGTTAATTCATGGAACTTGCATTGAGTGTGCCTGGCACACGGTGAGCTCTCAGTGTTTGCTGTTATAATCCTTGGCCATTGGCAATCAGCATTACCTCCAGTCCCCACTGACTGGTGAAGTCAAGCCCACTGACAGACACCCACACCCTGCTCCAAACCCCGAACCCCACACCCCTCCTCTTTGTTAAGTGGAAGGCCTCAGGAAGCTCCCTTTAAGACATGGGTTTTCTAGACAAGTTTTCTGCCAGAGAACTTTCCCTTCTGCCAGAATCTCAGGGACTCTTCCAGGTCTCCCTTTCCAGAACCAACATCTCTGTCTGCCCTTCTGTCTTCAGACTGCCCTCTTTCCCCTCCAGCTCTCCCTCCATAACTGCGTCTCCTCTGGCCAGGTTTGCAGGCTGGGTCTGGGGGAGGCCCCTGGGGTTGACTGAGCAGAGCTGGCTGTGTGATGGAGATGGCTCTCTTCCAGTTGGGCACTGCCACCCTCTCGTGGTCCAAGCAGCACACGAACAGAACCAGGTGCTCAACACCAACAGCCGATACCTGCACGACAACATTGTGGATTACGCACAGAGGCTTTCGGAGACCCTGCCGGAGAAGCTCTGCGTGTTTTATTTCCTGAATTCTGGGTAAGTGGACTGCAGCCAGCCCCCAGCAAGTGGATGAGACGACAAGGAAGAGAGTTCCTCACGTGGACACAGCATAGTGTAGCCGACCGAGTATGGACTCAGGGAGAGGCAGCCTCACTGTGCCAGGCGCCTGTGCTTCCCGGCTGTGCACCCTGGCTTACTCCGTCAGATCCAGCTTTGTGGTCTCGTAGTAAGGGATGCCATTACCTCGCTTTCAGGATCGTTGTTGGGGCTGACAGAGGTAATCTGCTCCTTTATTTCTGCCTTATGAATCAACAGGCACAGTGCTGGGGGCTACAGCCAAAATGCCCACCCTTGGCCTGTTCAGTAAGGAACAGAAACATTAAGAAATACAAAATTACAAAGAGGGATCATTGTCTGGAGGTAAAGTACAGGGTATAATGAGGCATAGAAGCTGAGGGGGCAGGGCCTGCTCCGAGAGGATCAGAGGAGACTCCCTTGCAGAAGTGATGTTAGGCTAAGAGCTGACTGGGAAATAACTAGATGAGGAGGAAGGAAGGGTGCTGCCCACTCCCTCGGAAGTATTCTTGTCAAGGTTGGTTACAACGCAGGACAGCATGTGCAAAGGCCCTGCGGCAGGAAGGGTCATGGCACCCCAGCACACTTGAGGAACCAAAAGGCAGCCAGTGAGGGAGGGTGGGAGCTGACACTGAGGAGGGAGGCAGGGCCCATCACCCAGGACTGTAATGGCCAAGTAAGGAGTCTGTTTTTATCCTAAGAGCATTGGGAAGCCATCAGAGGGTTTTAATCAGGCAAGTGATGTCGTCAGGGCTGGGGGAGAGCAAGAATGGACACTCTTAGGCACTACACTAAGAGTGGCAGTGGAGACAGAAGCAGCAGATGATGCGTCTACATAGAGCCAGCCCAGCATGCCTGGGAAAGAACATTCCAACAAATTGTAGGTTGTGGCATTTAGATTATAGTAATGTTTATTACCATTTTCATTTTTTTTTTAATTTATCTTTTGTTTTGAAGAAGAAGAAGATTAGCCCTGAGCTAACACCACCACCAATCCTCCTCTTTTTGTTGAGGAAGACTGGCCCTGAGCTAACATCTGTGCCCATCTTCCTCTGCTTTATATGTGGTGAACCCTGGGCAGCCAAAGCCGAGTGTGTGAGCTTAACCACTGCACCACTGGGCCGCCCCAACCGTTATCGTCGCCTTTCATGAAGTACATTCGTCTGTTCCCTCAGTAATTTCTAGGACATGGAATTTCCCATCCTCATTTTACAGATAAGGAAACAGCAGTTCAAAGAGCGGAGCTAGCTTGCCCAGGGTCATCCGCATAGGAGACGGCGAAGCCAGGACCGGGGCCTCTCTGGGAAGAGCAGGGGGCTGGTCCGGCACTCAGTGCTTCCTTGGCAGTGGAGGAAGGGACTGGCTGGCTCACTGCACCAGATTTATTCTATGCATTCCGCTGACTTCCTTGTCGCTAAATCCAGTGGGCTCCTTGCTGCCCTCGTGTTACTCTCAGCGGTGTTGACAGTTCCCACTCTCTGGAAATGCTTTCTGGTCTTGCTTCCAGGACATGGCACGCTCCTGGTTTTCTACCAGCTTCTGGCCACTCCTCCTCTGTCTCCTTTCCCGATTTTTCCTTCTATGTTCCTCGGAGCTGGTCCTGGGCCATCGTCCTCTCTGAACCCTCTCCCTACGTGATCTCATCCATTCCCATGGTCTTCAATATCATCGATGTGCTGTGACTCCCGAGTTTGTGTCCCAAGCCCAGATGCTTCCCACGTGTTCCAGCCTCAAGGTTCTAACCACCCACATGACTTCTGGAGCATCTCCAACTTCATGTGTCCAAAAGACAGTCAAGAGTTGGTTGTCTTCTGCCAACACCTGGTGTGGGACCGTGGCCCTGGCTCTCCCTGACATTCCCAGGCACCTACCCCAGACCATCCCAAGAGACCATCCCCCCTACTGCCACCCACACCCTGTCTCTCGTAAATGGCAGTGCCCTCTGCATCTCTGCTCAAGGCAGAAACCGCACAGCCACCTGCCGGTCCTGCATTGAACCTGCCTCGTTGGTTTCCAGGTGGTCTCTTGCCTCCATCCACTCACTCCATCTTCACGGCCCCCACCTGCTCTCACCTGCATGTCCTCCTTGGTATCCTCACTTCCACTTTAATTCCCTTCTCCTCCATTAGCCCCACACAGCCAGAGTCCTCCTCAGATGGGAACTGAACCACATCCCTTCTCTGATTAAAACTTTTCAGTGGCTTTGCATGGCAGTGAGAAGAAAACCCAGGTTCCTCCTAAGGCCCTGTGAACATGGCCTGCGAGTGTCTCTGACTTCCTCTCTCGCGCTGCCCCTGGGCTCCCTTGTCCTCTCTCTGTTCCCTGAGCGCACCGAGCTCTCTGGCCTCACAGGGCCTTTGCGCGAGCTGCTCGCTCTGCCTGGAAACTTCCCCCTGAGGACTCGGCAGGCAGCGCCTCCTCATGGAGTCCTTCTCTGAGGCCCTGTGTTAGTCAGCTTGGGCTGTGATAAGATGCCACAGGCTGGCAGGCTTCAACTGCAAGTTTATTTTCTCAGAGTCCTGGGAGCCAGAATCCCAGATCGAGGTGTCGGCAGGTCTGGCTTCTTTGAGGCTCTCTCCTTGGTTTACAGGTGGCCACCTTCTCGCTGCGTCCTCACGTGGTCTGTCTTCTGTGCATGCACACCCCTTGACTCTGTGTGTCCCAGTCTCCTTCTAAGGACACAGTCGGATTGGATCAGGGTCACTCTGGTGGGCTCATTTTAACTTAATCTCTTTAAAGGCCCTCTCTCCAAATACAGTCACATTCTGAGCCACTGGGGAGGGGAGGGCTTCAATATGCAAATTTCGGGGGACACAGTTCAGCCCATAACACCCCCTTATCTAAAGTAGGACCCCGTCTGGTTTTCCTGGGGCACTTATCAAAGTGAGCATTCTTTCTGCTTTTTGGGTTTCATGACATATACTAGGATATAAGCTCAGGAGGCTCAGGGCCTGTCTGTTTTACTGTTTCCCCCCAGCTCCTAGCACTAGAAGACATTTGATACATTTTTACCAGATGAATGACTAACCAAGGGTGTCCTGAGGGTCTTCGTTCGTGCTGCTGGAGGGCTCCGCCTTCCCTCTGCGTTTCTCCATAGGAAGCAGGTGTCCAGGAGGGAAGGCCCTCGGAAAGCTGTCTGAGCAGTGCCCACCTTGTCTCTCGCAGGTCGGAAGCCAATGACCTGGCTCTGAGGCTGGCCCGCCAGTACACGGGACACTGGGACGTGGTAGTGCTGGATCAGTAAGTGCTGTCGCCAGAAGGCTAGGCTGCTGCTTGTGGGGGATCAGTGAGGCCCTGGCTTTAGGTGCCTTGGGCAGGAAGGATGAAGACCTGGCCACAGAGACACCCCCTACACCCCGGGGGGCTCTTTTCCCCAGACTGCTCTGGGAGGGCAGCTTCTGGGGAGCAGAGAGTGCTTTGTAAGGTGGTAAGAACTGGTCCCACATTTTAAGTGCTAAGCTGTCCGAACAGTAGCTCCCATTGTGTTGAGGCTCTGCCATGCACGAGACCCAGGCCCAGGGTTAGAGCATCCTCACGTTTAGGATTCATTACTACCCTGAAGCAGAGACCCCCCACTTTACAGGGGAGAGATCTGAACCCGGAGAGCTTGAGTGACCAGCCGCCGGGACAGAGCTAGTCAGCAGCCTTGCAGGAAGTCTTGCTGACTCCAAGGCCTGCGCTCGTGCCCAGCCCTGGGCTCGGGGGCTGTGGCAGAAGGGTTGGTCTTCCCTGTGTGTCTCCTGAGGTGGGGAGACCGTGGTCGGCTGGGCTGGGGAGTCTGCGCCCCTGAGCCTGAGCCCCACTGCTTTCTCCTCCCCAGTGCTTATCATGGTCACCTGAGCTCCCTGATCGACATCAGTCCCTACAAGTTCCGGGGCCTGGATGGCCAGAAGGAGTGGGTCCATGTGGTATGCACTGCCCAAGTGGACAACAGGTCGGTGCTCGCCCCTCAGCCCAGGTGACACAGCACTGTCACTCCCCACAGGCACCTCTCCCAGACACCTACCGGGGCCCCTACCGGGAGGACCACCCCAATCCAGCTGTGGCCTATGCCAGTGAGGTGAAACGCGTGGTCAGCAGCGTCCAGGAAAAGGGCAGGAAGGTAACTGCGTCTGCATGGGTCCAGTGAATGGAACAGTGAACGTCACTGACTCTGTTGCCAGCCGAGTGCTAGATACTGGGAACCTTGAGAGAAATGGGAACCAGGCCCGCCCTGTGGGAATCTGATGGGGGTTACGTGCTCAGCGGAGAGTTTAGACAGAGACGTATCCTGGGCGTTACAGGAGTCCAGAGACCCAGGCTGGACTGGTGTGGATGTGGGTGTGAAGGAGGGTCCTGGGAGGAGGTGTTACCTGATCTCAGTAATATAAGCTAAGCAGGAGTTAGCCACTCAAGGTGGGGTGGGGAGTAGAAGAGGAAAGCCATCCTAAACAGAGGGGCAGCCTGCACAGAGGTGAGGACCCATGTCGGTGTGCAGCCAGGCAGGGCAGGCAGGAAATGAGCCTAGAGAGGCAGGGGTCCCGTGTGCCAGAGGATCAGAAGTGCTGTGAGGGGGCTAGAGGCCATGGGGAACCTTTGAAGGGCTTTAAGAGGGAGTGTAGTAAGACCAGGGCATGCATTTAATTGGGGCCAGCCTGAGGGCAGGTGACCTGAGGAGACCCAGCATGAGGCCAACCCAGTGTGGTGGAGTGCAGGTGCAGAGCGGGAGAGAGGTGGCATACCCAGAAGAGCAGTGGCCAAAGTGACAGTAGAGGGGACGTGGTTAGCAATTGTGTGAGGGCTCCTGAAGGCTCCCCTGAAGGAGTGACAGCCAAATGCAGCATACACAGCAGAGTTAGGCAGGCTGCAAGGCCAGGAAGGTTGGCAGGGCCAGATCAGGGGAGCCTGGCCTGTGCTCTTCAGATGCTCTGCGCCCCCTTACCTGAAACCAGAAAAGAGGTTGCTCTGGTGGCAGCAGGCCTGAGAGACCAGTTTCCCACCCCATCAGCCTTTCCCTCATCCCAGCAGAGCCTCTGAAGCAGCTCCAAGGCAGGACACAGTTTGGAAGTCACTGCTGTGAGTAAAAGGGGCCATTGGGCTTTAAACAGGACAGAGATGAGCTCAGTGTCTGCGTTGAGGCATCTCCCTGGTGGCCAGTGGAGGATGGACTGGAAGAGGCATCCAGTTAGAAGGCATCTGCAGAAGGCCCAGGCAGAAACTGGCAGAGCTGCCAGGAGGCAGGAGTGTCCAAGAGGAGGGAAGGAGTGGGTGTGGAGATGTACAGAGGCAGAGTCAGAGGCTGTGCTGACTGATAGAAAAAGGAGGGGGCTGGTCCAAAGATGGGGGCCAGGTTTCTGTCCTAGGTGGGAGGGATGAGAGTCACCAGATGGAGGCAGAGAAAGAACAGGATTATGGGGGAGAAAGCAGTGGATTTCGTCTGGGGCATGCTAAGTACAAGGGGTCTGGAGGCATCCTGGTGGTGAGAGTTGGTTTGGGGCCTGAAAGAAAACTGAGTCACAGACCTCAGATAAGATGTGGAGCCTGAAGGCGGGGCATAGCGAAGCCGGTAACTCGTCCTGCTTAGAACGTTAGCAGGGCACACTTAGTTTGTCACTCAGTACCTCCACAATAGCGTTCCCAACATCCCGCCTCATCCACAGATTGCAGCGTTCTTCGCGGAGTCTCTGCCCAGTGTAGGAGGGCAGATCATTCCCCCTGCTGGCTACTTCCCGGAAGTGGCAGAGTAAGTAGGTGGGAGGGGGTGCCCACAGAGGGCAGGGCTGTAATGCGGTCTCCCAGCCATTGTCCCAAATTCCAACCTCGGCCTGGCCTGTTTGCCAGGATTTTCAGTCAAGGCCCCTGAAGAAATAGTGGCCTGGAGAAGGCCAGCTGTCTGCCTGAGGCCCCCACCTTATGCTGGCAGAGCTGGGATTCAGAGTCCCAAGACCTCCCACTCCTGGTCTGACCCCCCTACCACAGTCCCCATCAGCGATCTGTCCTCTGCCACAGGCACGTCCGCAGGGCCGGAGGGGTCTTTGTCGCAGATGAGATTCAAGTGGGCTTTGGCCGAGTAGGCAAGCACTTCTGGGCCTTCCAGCTGCAGGGGGAAGACTTTGTCCCCGACATTGTCACCATGGGCAAATCCATTGGCAATGGCCACCCTGTAGCCTGCGTGGCCACAACCCAAGCTGTGGCGAGGGCCTTTGAAGCCACCGGCGTCGAGTACTTCAACACGGTGAGTGAAGGCTCCAGGGCAAGGGAGCGCCATGGCTTCTGCTGGGCCCCAGTCTGCTTATCCTTGATCAGCGAGGGCCACAGGCCTAGCACTCTGCCTAGCACAGAGACTTCTAAGATGCCGTCCTTGGAGAGTTACCACAGGTCAAAGGAAAAAATACACAAAACCTCTTTAAGATTAGCATCAATCCAAAAGCTGTCACAAGAGATTGTACCTTATAAAATATATAGAAAGAATACAAGAGGCCCTCTCTCCCTCCCAGCAGCAGCTGCCTACTGTATGCCAGGCCCTGCGCCAGGTACTGGAGCCAAAGAGCTGACTAAGATGCATGAGGAGCTGGGTCTGTTGGGGTGATGAGTGGCCTAGGAGCAGAGTTCACATTGCAGTAGGAGCTTAGAGGAGGGCGCAGCTCTCTGTCTTGGGGGTAAAGGTGGAGAGCTTGCCCTAAGTGAAGTGGATCCTTATGTTGCCGGAGAAGCCACAGCATGTTTGGTGGCACCAGGAAAGCAGTCACATGTTGCATGAGGGGAGCATGGGGGTCACCAGGGCCTTCATCATAAAGAGTCAGGGAGTCTGGACTGATCCTGAGGGCGGTGAGGGACCATGGAAGGGTTATAATCGGGGAGAGATGAGATCTGAAATATGCTCTAGAAGGATCTCTGGCAGTCAGTATGGAGAAAGAACTGGAGGTAGGGAGACCGGTCCCAGAAAGAGAGAAGATCCGAATCTGGGCATGGGCACAGGGAAGAATAGGAAGGGACAGAGAACTGAGGGGAAGAGAACTCACTGTGACTTCTCAAAAAAGGCAGTTTGTACTGGGGACTGAAATGTGTCAGGATTTGGCAACACAGCTGAGATGTGGCAGAGAAGGTCGTTAAGGGTGAGGGCTGATGCTTTTAGCAAGCCGTCACTCTGTGCCCAGGTAACACGTCGACAGAGCCTCTGCCCTGGACAGGTGCTCCGCAGGGGGAGACAGCCTCATGGACACCTGGTGGCAGTGGCTTGGAGGAGGTTTAATGGAAGCAGTGTGTTCACGGCGCTGTGACCGCACAAGGGACGCCAGGCGGGAGGGCAGAGGAGGCCTCGTGTGCATGGTGAGTCTGAGGAGAGCTGAGTCTGGGAGGCTGAGGAGGAGCTAGCCCTGTGAGGGGGAAGGAGTGTGTTGTGTTAAGTGAAAGACGAACAGGCCAGTGGAGCACGGTCCTGATTTTTGTGTCGTCGTCTTATTTGAAGTGCACATGGTTAGATTGTGTAATCCTTGGTTCATGAAGGACTCATCCTCTGTTCCTGCGCAGCCCTCTTTTAGTTGATCAGTCAGTGACTTTCACTAATGTTCTAAGCATCCAAGAGGCCATCATCCCAAGTAAAAGTTAGGGCCTTGACAGTAACCTGCCTCTATCCATATGGTTTGCCCCCAGTGCCATCTGACTGCCTCCCCCACCTCAGGTGACCATCACTCTGAAACCCATGTTCATTATTTATTCTAGTTGTTTTTTAACTTTATAAAAAGTGTATCATGCTGTATATACTCTTTGGGGATTTGTTTTTTTCATCTAATACTATATTGCTTGTCACTGAAGTTCATTTGTTTTGAATGCTGTATAATATTCCATTGTATAACTGTGCCACGGTTTATTTCTCCATTCTTGTTGATGTGCTTTGGGGTTGTTCCATGTCTTTTGCTATTGCGAACAGGGCTTCTGTGAACAATTTTTATAAGTCTCTCTTGTACACGTGCAAGAGTTTTTCTTAGGAATATTCCTAAGAGCGGAATTGCTGGCCACAGGGTCCGCGTTCACCCTCCATTTTAAGAGATAATGACTTCAGTTTCCAAAGTGGTTCACAAGCTAGCACCCACCCGCAGTGTATAAGAGGTTCTCTAAGTCTGCATCCTCGTCAACAGCTGTTAATTTTTGCCAGGCAGGTAGGGTGTAAAATGGTGTCCCCTCAAATCAGCAAATGATACTGCTGTGCCATTCCTTGATTTCACATTATGTGAAATGTCTCTTCATGTTTATTGGCCATGTGTTTCCTCTTCTGGGAAATGCCTGTTTTTTCTTTTGCTCATTTTTTGATTGAGTGCTTTTCTTATTTATTTGTGGGAGTTTTGTGTGTCTATATATGTGTGTGTGTATGTAGATATGAGCATTTGTGTGTGTGTATACACAGACACACACACATACATATATTCTTGATACTAATCCTTTGTCAAGTGTGTATGTTGTGAATATGTTCATCTAGTTTATAACTTGTCCTTTCACTTCCTTTACATATTTTCTGATGAATCAAAGTTTTTAATTTTAGCATGGTCAACTACATCAATCTTTTCTTTTACAGACAGTTCTTTTTATGTCTTGTTTAAGAAATCTCCCCCTACCCCCAAGGTCTGCAAGATATTCATCTACATTTTCTATTAAGTATTTTAACATTTCGTTTTGATATATAAATCCTTAATCCATCTGGAGTTGATTTTTGTAAATGGTGCGAAACAGGAATCACATTTCCTCCTTTCTGCATGTGAATAACATTTTCTTAGCTCCCTTATTCTCCACTGATCCGAAATGCTACCTCTGTTATATACCCCAAGTTCAAAGTGAACAGGGCTGTTTCTGGGCCCTTATTTCTACTCTTCTGGTCAAGTTGTCTGTCTGTTCCTATACTACATTGCTGTATTACTAGAGCTTCATAATAGGTTCTGAGATTTGGTAGAAAAGGTCTCCTTTGACCTGTTTTTTCTTGTTTAGAAGAGCTCTGGCTATTCCTGGACCTTTACTCTTTCGTTAAAATTTTAAAGTTATCTTTAAACATTTTATGAACTCTGTTGGGATTTTGATAGGGGAATTACTTGAATCTATAGATGAATTTGAAGAAAATGTACATTATTGAATCTTCCTATCCATGAACATGGTATACCCCTCCATGTTTTATAGTTTCCCCTGCAGAGATCTTGCACATCATTAGATTTATTCCTAGATATTTGAAACTTTCTATCATAAATAGTGACCTCTCTTTATCTGCCTACTCATTGCTGCTGGTGTATAAAATATGGACTTTTGTATATTAATCTTTTATCAGCTCCCTTGCTAAACTCTTCTTTTTTTGTTTTTTTAAGATTGGCACCTGTGCTAACAACTGTTGCCAATCTTCTTTTTTTTTTTTTGATTGCTTTTTTCTCCCCAAATCCTCCCAGTACATGGTTGTATATTTTAGTATTGGGTCCTTCTAGTTGTGGCATGTGGGACGCTGCCTCAACATAGCCTGGCAAGTGGTGCCATGTCCGCACCCAGGATCCGAACCAGTGAAACCCTGGGCCACCAAAGCGGAACACATGAATTTAACCACTCGGCCACGGGGCCGGCCCCCTATTTTTTCTAATAATTTGTAGGCAGACCTTGTTCTTGTTTTTTTTTTTTTCCTATCTAAAAACTCATATCATCTCCAAATAATAGCAGTTGTTTTATTGCACTGGGCAAGACTTCCAGTACATAGTTGAAAATAAATGGTGACAGTAGGCACACTTGTCCAGTTGATAGGAATGTTTAATACTTGTCCATCTAGGATAATGTTTGGTCTAGGTTTTTATTTTATCTTTTATTCTTTTTTTAATCTTTAAATTTTTAAAATTCTTTTTATATTCTTTTTTATTTTATTTCTCTATCAGGTTAAGAAAATTTGCTTGTATTCCTAACTTACTAAAAGATGGTTTTGTTTCGTTTTGTTTGGTTTTTTGTGAGGAAGATTGGCCCTGGGCAGATATTTGTGCCAACCTTCCTCTCTTGTGGATGTGGGACACCGCCTCAGCATGGCTTGATGAGCAACGTGTAGGTCCACGCCTGGGATCCAAACCCGTGAACCCAAGGCTGCTGAAGCAGTGTGTGCAAACTTAACCACTATACCACCAGTCTGCCCCCTAAGAGATTTTATTATGAATAGGTGTTGAATTTTATCCTGTTCTTTTTATGCATCTATTGAAGTCATTTTTTTCTCTTTTAATCTGTTAATATGTTGAATTATATTTATGATTTTTCTAACATTGAACCATCTTTACATACCTGGGACAAATCCAACTTGGACATGGAGTATTATCATCTTTATACGTTATTTGCGTATATTTTATTTATGAATTTGGCATCTATTTTCAGGAGTAAAATGTGACTCTCATTTTTTTCTTACAGTATCTTTGGTTTTGGTATCTGGGTTATACCAGCCTTGTAGATGAGTCGGGAAGTATTTCTTCTTTCCCTTTTACATAAAATTGGGATGATCTATTCTTTGAAAGTTTGGTAACTATGTATAAAACCATCTGGGCCTTGTGGTTTTTTGGGTTTTTTTAAAAGATTGGCACTTGAGCTACCATCTGTTGCCAATCTTCTTTTTTCTTCTTCTTCTTCTCCCCAAAGCCCCCCAGTACATAGTTGTATATTCCAGTTGTAGGTCCTTCTGGTTGTGGCATGTGGGACGCTGCCTCAGCATGGCCTGATGAATGGTGCTAGGTCTGCACCCAGGATCCAAACTGGCGAAACCAGAAGCAGAGGGCTCGAACTTAACCACTCGGCCACGGGGCTGGCCCCAGGGCCTTGTTTTCTTTGTGGGAAGATACTTAATTGCTGCTTCAATTTCTTTAAAAGTTATATAGCAGTCTTCAAGCTTTTCATTTCTTCTTGGGTTAGTTCTGGTGAGTTGTATTTTCCTAGAAGTTTGTCTCTTTCAAGAGTGTTCAAAATTGTTGACATAGGGTTATTGTTAATGCTTTCTTAGTATCTTTTTAATCTTTATCATGTTCCCTTTCCATTTACAGTATTTGTTTGAGTCCCTTCTTCTCTTGTTTTCTTTCCTTCTGCTTTCTTTGGGGTTTGTTATGTTGTTGTTTCCTAATTTCTTAAGATGGATACTTAACTGTTTTCTCTGTTAATATAAATATTTAAGCCTATACATTTCCCTCCAGCACTTTTACTGTATCTCACAAATTTTAATATATATTGTTCCATTATCACAGAGGTTCTCACAAGTGTTATCCAGATCCTGAGGATCTCCAAGACCCTTTCAGGGATCTGCAGAGTAAGACCTACTTGGATAATAATACATGTTATTTGCCTTTTTCACTCTCCTCCTCTCCCAGGTATGTAGTGGAGTGTTCCAAGGCTACATGATGCATGTGACACCACAACAGATTGATGCTGAAACAAATATGAGACTCCAGCTGTCTTTCATTAGGCCAGACATTTAGGAGATTTGCAAACATGTACAAATAAGGCCACTTCTAATTTTTTTTTGTAAATATATTTTATGATAACATGCAGTGAGTTTTTAAATTATTCTCAAATGGCATAAAGTTAATTTATTATTTTGATATTAATATTTTTCAGATTTCTCAGTTTTAATTTCTATACAGTAAATATTAATAGATATAATCCATACAAACAAAAGCTCTTTGGGTTCCTCAATCATTTTTGAGAGTGTAAAGAGATTCTAAAATGAAAAGTTTGAGAACTACTGTGTTATCATTCAATTTTAGGTTTTTCCAATCTTATTAACTTCTTACCAACACCACTGAGGTCAAACGTCATGTCTTGTGTGATGTTTATTCTTTGATACTTACTCTGTAAAATGTGCTGGGTGATCTGGTACTTGATTGTTCTGCATGTCCTCGAGAAAAATGTGTGTTCTCTAAGTGTCTGCAGAACTCTGTAATGTCTCTTAGGTCACACTTGCTAATTGTGTTGTTTGAATCGTCTATATTCTTGCTGGATTTTTTTCTTATTATTAATAATTGAGAGCTGTGTGTTGAAATCTCACACTATGATGAAAAACTGATCAGTTTTTCCCCATAATACTATCAATTTTTGCTTCATGTGTTTTGAGGCTATTAAGTATATACATATTTTTATTTCTCTATGTTCACTGGGAATTGAATCTTTTTTTAATTGAGGTATAACTGACACACAAGATACTAGTTTCAGGTATGCACAACATAATGAAATGATCACCACAATAAGTCTAGTTAACATCCAACACTTCACAGTTACAATTTTTTTTCTCGTGATGAGAACCTTTAAGATCTACTCTCTCAGCAAGTTTCAAATATATAATATGGTTATTATTAACTATAGTCACCATGCTGTACATTACATCCCCACGACTTACTGATTTTCTAACTGGAAGTTTCTACCTTTTGACCCCCCTCACCCATTCCACCCACCTCTGTGTTTTAATAGTTTGGTTATGTTGTGTCTAAGTATGGAACTCATTAGTTTATTCTACTTGGAGTTTATTGAGCTCTTGGATGTGTAGATTGTTGTTGGGTTTGTTGTGTTTTGTTTTTTAATCAAATTTGGGAAGTTTTTGACAATTATCTCTTCAAATTTTCTTTTTTTCCCTTTCTCTCTTCTCCTTCCAGAACTCCCATTGGCGTATGTGGGTATGCCTGGTTGTGTCCCACAGGTCTCTGATGCTCTGTTCATTTTTCTCACTCTTTTTTCTTTCTGGTTTTCAGACTAGACAATCTCAATTGACGTATCTTCGAGTTTGCTGATTGTCTCATCTTCCTGCCCAATCTGCTGCTGAGCCTCTCTAGGGAATTCTTCATTTCAGTTACTTATGCTTTTCAACTCCAGAATATCTATTTGGTTCTTTTTTATGATTTCTATCTCTTAATTAATAGTCAATATTTGGCAAGACATCATTTTCATGCTTTTTAGTTCTTTAGATATGGTTTCCTTTAGTTCTTTCAACATATTTATAACATTTGATTTAAAGTCTTTGTCTAATAAGGCCAACATCTGGCCTTCCTCAGGAACTGGGACAGTTTCTGTTGATTACTTTCTTCCCTCCTTGTATATGGGCCATGCTTTCCTCATTCTTTGCATGTTTCATAATTTTCTCTTGAAAACTGGACATTTTAGATAATATAATGTGGCAACTTTCAAATTATATTCCCTCCTCATGGTTTGTTTTTGTTGCTTTCTGTTGTTTATATAGTGACTTTTCTGAAAGCTGTAAAGTCTGTGTTGTTTGTCATGCATAAACACTGTAGTCTCTGCTTGATTTGCTCTCAGTGATCATCTAATAACTAGACAGACATCTCATTAAATGCTGGAACCCAGGAAGTCTCAGCTTTGATAAGCGGCTCTATGTGTGTGTTGGAGCACGCCTTCAACACTCAGCCAAGCTTACAACTCTGTCTTCACCTTTACTTCCTCCTTCTGCAGAGCCTCAAGGTAGCCAGTGGTGAGAGCTTAGAGCTCTTCAGGTCTTTCCTGAACATGCACATAGCACTGGGCATGAACATATCCCTAGGCATATGCATGGCCTTCTAGAGTCGCAGGACTGTGTCAGAGCTTTTGTTCATTTGCTTTCTGTTTTTCCTCTGGGGTGATCTCGGGGGAAAGACCTATCTATTGTGCTAGTTCAGCATCTTGGCCAGGTCACAATTCTAAACCAAAGATGCTACTAGTAGATAGACACTCCACCTTTTAACGAGTTCACAGTTAATATTTTATACAATAAGTAGCATCAGTCCATCCCTGTGTCCCTTCCATACATAATTTGTCTTGGACATATCAGAAAGCTCTTTCATTAGCAGAACCGCCTAGGAAGCTTTTTATGATCTCAAGTATGAAGCACTGCATGTACATTTTCAAGATGGTCTACAGGATACCAGTACACACCCATTAGAATGGCTGCAACTTAAAAGAATGACAATTCCAAATGTTTCTGACAATGTGGAGCAAGTGGAATTTCATAGACTAATGGTAGGAATGCAGTATGGCACAACCACTTTGGAAAACAGTTTCACAGCTTTTTATAAAGTGAAACATACATTTATCATACAACCCAGTAGTTCCACTCCTAGGTATTTACCCAAGAGAAATAAGAACATATGTCTACAAAAAGATTTGTCATAAATGTTCATAAGAGTTTTATTCATAATAGTCAAAAATTGAAATAACCCAAGGGTCCATCAACAGGAGATTGGATAAACAAATTGTGGTATGTCCATACAATGGAATACTGTGTAGCAAGAAAAGAAACTACCAATACACAAAACAATATGGATAAATTTCAAAAACATGTTGAGCAGAAGCAGCCAGGCACAAAAGGGTATATATTCTGTGATTCCATTCATATGACATTCTGGAAAAGGCAAAAACGATAGTGACAGAAAGCAGATCAGTGGTTGCCTGGGCCAGTAGTGAAGTGGAGCACGTGGAACTTTGGGGAGTGATGGAAATGTTTTGTATCTTCATTGTGGTGGAGGTTCCACGGGTATATACATTTGTCAAATCACACTGAGCTATACACTTTAAATATACTGTCATGCATCGCTTGACGACAGGGGTACGTTCTGAGAAATGCAGCATTAGGCAATTTTGTCTAGTGCAAACATCATAGAGTATACTTACACAAACCCAGATGGTATAGCCTACTGCACGCCTTGGCTGTATGGTACTAATCTGATGGGACCTCCATCGTATATGTGGTCCTTCGTTGACGGAAACGTTATGTGGTGTGTGATTGTATGAAGGTTACTGTATATAAATTATATCTCAATTAACTTGATTTTTTTTAAAGATGTAATTTTAAAAAAAGGATGGCCTGCAGGAGAAACCCTTGCTCCTGACTCTACAACACAGGTCCGCACTCAGACTTAGGCAGGCGCAAGTGAGAGGAAGTGAGTGAGAGCGCTCAGGGTGCCTGACGGGGACAGCTGATGCCCAGTGCAGCCTGATAGGCCAGGTTTAAGTTGGAAAGACATATGTTTGTGTTAAGTCTCTTATTTTACATCATTAGCACCTAATTCAAAACTTTTAATAATGCTACACAAGCCAAACAAGACGACGACTCAGGCTGCACATGGCCCACAGGCAGCCAGCTTGTGGTCTGTGCCCTAAAATCTGCCCTGGGCTTAACCAGCAGAGTCTTGAGCTCATACCAGAGAGTGACTTTTCCTGGGTGTGGTCCTGGCACGTTTCTCTTGGCCCTCAAGGAGGTTATAGAACTAGCAGGTGATGAAGGAGGTGATGGGAACTAGTCTGATGGGGTCTGGGGCCAGCCCGTGAGATGGGGCCCTAAAGTCTCTGGACCAAAACGAGCTCTGTGGGAACGCACAGTACACCCTCTCCTCTGATTCTGCATCTTCTCAGGGCTCCTACTGCACCCCTGACCTGGGCTACAGTCACGTTAGCACCTGGAAAGGCGGGACAGCCCATGGGGACCTCAGGAGAACCCCATTTACTGCTGATCGCTCTGAGTCCTGAGGGGTTCAGACCTGTGCTCTCAACACTGCCCTTGGAATGTGTGTGGCAGCTCTGCTGCCCTCACCGTCACTGGGGCATGGCCCTCTTTGCTGGGTGTCTGACCTTTGTCCCCTGACTCAGTTTGGGGGCAGCCCGGTGTCCTGCGCTGTGGGGCTGGCCGTCCTGGATGTCTTGGAGAAAGAGCAGCTGCAGGCTCATGCCGCCTGTGTGGGCAGCTTCCTGATGGAGCTCCTTGGGCAGCAGAAAGCCAAACACCCCATCATCGGGGACATCAGGTGAGGCTCGAGCAGCAGTCACCACTAACCGAGCACCTGCCAGGGGCCTGGCATGGTTTCCTCTTTCGCTTGGGATGGGGGGATTTTTATCTCCACTCTACAGAGGAGGAACTGAAGCACTGAGAGGGGCTGTTGCCCAAAATGATACTTGTGGGGGCAGCGCGGGGGAGCCAGGATCAAACTGAGCTCTGACCCCCAACCTTTCCTCTGTCCACGCTAAGGTCCCCCCGCATTAGTTCTTTCTTGCAACTGTTTCACCACCCTCTGAGGGTCCCTCCAGCTCTCAGCCTCCCCGGGAGGCAGAGGTACAAGCTCTGGTGGACTCCAGGGTGGGCTTGGCTGAGGCCCAGGTGGAGGATAAGAGCAGGACTGTGGCCCCGAAGGCCTGGTCTCTTGAGAGCTTGCCTTCTGCTCCAGGGGCGTCGGGCTCTTCGTTGGTGTGGATCTAATCAAAGACAAGGCCACAAGGACACCAGCAACTGAAGAGGCTGACTACTTGGTGTCCAGGTACTTTTTGAGACAATTTGCCTTTGTGGTGTCTAGGACCCCGACTGGGAAGGCGCCTCCCCTCTTGCCTCTCCTTTCATCCACCGTGTTCTCAGGCACTCTGGACCCACAGAGGGTTGACTGAAGGAGGCAGCACCTGGGCCTCTGAGGGGGAGGGGGCGGCCCTGTCAGCCATGCCCAGTGCCTGGCAGCACCGGCTTCAGGCAGGCGCGGGGCAGTGGCAGCGTGAGCAGCCGCCTCTGCTGAGAATGCCCAGGCTGGAGAGGCTCTCAGCCCCGGGCAGTCCCAACGCCACGACCCAAGCTGCCCTAGGGAAGCAGCTTCTCCAGAGCCACACTGCAGGTTGTGGCGGAACCAGACTCGAGGCTCCCCATTTCCAGAGTCACAGGTTTTGGGGGTGTCCAGATGACTCAGAAGCCCCTGCCCCAGCCCATCTGCATTTTCCTTCACTAGAATCTAGGCAGGACCTGAGCCTCAGGACCCTCCCTCTTGTTAGTCCCTTTTTATCGCTATTCCTCACTCCTACCTCCTTCCCCCACCTTGGAAAACCCTTCTAGTGCTTGATGTGTCCTTATTCAGATTGTGAAACGTGCATCACCCTGTGTATTTCATTCACATAAACAGTATTGATGTAAAAATTTTGCCCTCCACTCGGTTTTTGAGGCTGACCCCTCCAAAATGGCCGTCCAGTCCCTGCCTTTTCTGCTGGTCAGGCACACGGCCCGCACACCCACCTTTTCCCCCAGGGAGTCCTTTGGGGCTCAGGCATGCAGCATGGTCAGTGGGAAGGAGGGAGCCAGAGGAATGGCAAGCCTGACATGCTCCACCTCACAGCCACCCTGGTGGTTTCTCCAGCTCAGCAAGCACACTGGAACCAGGGCTGGCTGTTGCACCCGCAGTCACCCTGCGAGTAGGTGGCAGAACTGGATTTGAAGTCTAGATCTTGTTCCTTCCAGCATGGCCATAGTCAGTGCCAGGAAGAACAGGAGAGGGAGAAAGCCAGAAGGCAGACTGAGGACACCCTGCTCCTGGCAAGACTTCAAAATAAAAGAAATTAAAGGGGGGTGGGGTGAGAGAATGCAAATACAATCACGTCAGAACCCTTCTCTCAGTGGCCAGAATACCTTCATAGGTTAAAAGTGTAAATATGGAATATTACAAACCATTTTTAGGTACCAATGATAACGTTAAGGAGGATAAAGTCATTTTCCTAAAAAGAAATGCACATTAAAACTGGATAGTCCTCATCTGGGATTGCATGATGACTTGTGGGCAGGGAAGTTCCTGAAGCTAGATGAGGGATGCGTGGGCTTCATTACACTATTCTGTAAATGCTGGACATTTCCCACATAAAAAGTAAACATACACGTCACGTAGACTGTACACAAGATGGAAAAATGTAGGGACACCTGCTGTCCACACTGTAGCCCTGTGGCTAGCCTTGGCCTGGCCTAGACTGAGGCTCCAGGGATAGATGAGGCAAGGCCCCTGCTCTGGGGGACAACAGGCTCAAGGCCAGGTGCAGGGCACTCCAGGCAGGGGCCATTGATGCTGGGGCCACAAAGGATGGGTAGGAGTTTGGCAGGGGAAAGCCAGTGCCACATCACAGTGGGAACCGCCCTGTGAGGGGCTCCAGGGGCAGTGTGGCTGGAGCTCCAGCCACAAGGCCAGTCTAAGGAAGGCCCTGAAGGGCCCTTGGCTGGTGGGCAACGGGGCCCTGCTGTGTCCTGTCCTCACAGGCTGAAGGAGAACTACATTTTGCTGAGCACTGATGGCCCTGGGAGGAACGTCCTCAAGTTTAAGCCCCCAATGTGCTTCAGCTTGGACAATGCACAACACGTGGTGGCAAAGCTGGATGCCATCCTAACAGGTGAGTTTGGAGCCCAACACTTCTCTAGAATCCACCTGGGGTTAGTAGCTAGAACCTCCCAGCAGCATGCCCAGGGAGCAGATGGCTGAGTGGGTATCCTCTGGACAGTGCAGGGAGCAAGGAGCTCAAGTGGAGAGGGGTCGTCCTGGCCCAGGCCGCCTCTATCCCTACCTGTGCCCCCACCCACCCGGCCTGAGTGGGCACCCGTGTGGGATGCAGGACTAGGGAAGCAGGGCTTGGGCTTATGGGCCCAGCCATTACATTACAGCGGGAGACCCCATTACATGTGCTTAAATTAAGCCACTGTGAGATGTGGCCAGCAGGAGCTTTATGCTTTGAGATTAGGTCACCCTCAGCTCCTGAGTAGCTTGAAATGAGATTCACACCAGGACTGAGTGAATGCAAAATGAAATTCTTCTCCACGTTCATCACCTAGGAACGTCAAGGTCAGCCCAGGTCCTCCTCTAAATCTACTTACGAGGAATCTATAATAGGCAACATCCTATCTCCTGGTAGAGAGCAGAGCAGCCCAGCAGGCAGCCCAGGTCTTCCACCTCTAGGTTAGTTCACTGCTGCCCCCAGAATTCTGGAGCTAAGGGGGCCCAACTCCCACTCGACACAACTGGAGGTGTTTGGGGAAATGCTGGTGCAAGGGAGCATATTTGCCAGCAGCCTGGGGGAAGAGAGGCTGACTGGGCACAGAACTAGCTTAGGTTTCTGTGTACAGAGGAAGTTTGAGTTAAGCGTGAAGTCACAGGAAATCTGGGGGATAGTTTTGTCTTTTCAGGAAATTGTTACTGACCCTGTGGCTGGTAACCCATACGCATGGGGTAAAGGCTGGGACATGGACCAGGACAGGCCAGTGGGCCCAATCTCCAAAGCTAAGCAGCTTAGACAGTGAAGGCAGCAGGGGTCTTCAGAGGAGAAAACTTCACCAGTTTGGGTGGCTGTGCTCTTTCTCAGACATGGAAGAAAAGATGAGAAGTTGTGAGACGCTGAGGCTCCAGCCTGAGGCAGCCCTGCTGAGTCCTCCTCTAGGTGAGTGCGCCTTGCTTCTTGTTCTTGGAGACCCAGAACTGGGATCCTTACCATCAGCAGTGGCTCCTTCATTCCAAACCTTTTGTTTGTAAACACTTTGTTCTGAGTGATGACCCCTTCCCACAGAGTAGTTTCAACACTTGAGAGGCTCTGGCTGCCTTGGGCTCTCTCCACCTACTCCCCACCAGAAAAATCTCCAAAATACTTAGTTTGCATTTGATAGCTGGGGCAAGAGGGCAGGAGCAGCTTTGCTTCCCCCCCAGCCAGTTCCCCCTGGAGGTGAGGAGAAACAAAAATCCCTTTGCCTGGCCTTCATCCACCTAAAGCTCCAGTCAACTGCTGCCTCTTGCCACCAGCTAGTCTTAGGCCTCAACCACTAGACTTGGGGGGTTCCAGTCCAGCCAGCAAATAGGCCCTCAAGAGCAGGCTGTTATGTGCCGACCAGGAGGGAGCATCCTCATGCCCAAATCCAGCTGGCCCCCAGGACACTGTCCTTGCTCGAAGTCAGTTTCCACTGGCAAGTCAAGACAGGTAGGTAGGTGTTCCAAGGTGCTCCAGAGTCACACTGCCCTGGGGGCAGGGTGCCCACTAGGGGTGGTAACCCTCATTACACCACTTTCATTCCCTTGAACAGCTGCCTCGAACCGCCAAACCATTTCCTTTAAAAAAGGGGCTCAAATCCTGGGCAGGATAGTCATTAAAGGAAACTAACCAAGGATGCGGAAAATGTGTGGTTATGCCAAAAGGATGCTGTTAGGTCACGGAGGATCCTGGAGCTCAGGAGCACCTGGCCCCGCCCCACTTCACAGCATGCCCCACACTCACCCAGGCTTGGGGGTTTTTAAATTTTTATTTCAAAAGCTTGGATAGCTTCAATATCCAGGTCGTGGCAAAATCAGGACACGTGTAAAATACCTTACAATACATTAGATTCCCAAAAGGTACCAAAAAGTACAGTAAAATTAACACTTCCATTACAGGAAATGTATGACACAAATAATATAAAATTAAAAGGTGAAAAAAAGGTGACACTGGTTTCCTAAGATACAATTTACTCTTTACAACCAGGGTCCACAGGTCCAGGCTGCAGAGCGGCAGCGGGAAGCACTCTCTAATCTGGTTCTGCGTAACCCGGTGATAAAATCAGCCCATAATACCGCTCCGGCCTCTGAGACACCACACGCTGCCTAAACAACTAGAGCTCTGGAAATAGTAAACAGGAGAGTGATTTCCAGGGGACATTTTAAATAAGATGCACATGGGACAGGCCATAGAAAGTATGCCAAGTTAAATTTGGTACATAATTGTTTGTGTTCACTCGATATCCAAACAAAGCGTGTGCGGTCGGTCGGGCACTCCTGCCGAAGCCTCAGTATGGCTTGTAGTTATTCTGATGGCCACCGCGTCGCTGGCTCTTCCCGTAATTTGTACTACCCTGACCTAGAGACAAGAACAACAGTGATAGCAGCTACGACTTACTGAGCATTTCCCCCTGTGCCAGGCGCTTGATGTGCATCCTCACGGGAGCCAACGACCTGTCCGGTAGGGATATCTTCCCCACCTTTCTGAAACCCACAAGCTCAAGAGCTCAAAAGTGGTGTAAGCTCCACAGTGGCTGAGCCAGGCCACAAAGCCCAGCCTGTCGGACTCCAAAGCCCCTGCTGCCAATGGCCCCTGCACTGTCTGTCCTGCCTCCCAGGGTGGGTGAACGGATGGGGCCTCCCTCTCTCCTACTTACTGTAGTCGTAGCCGGGGCCGTAGCCGTAATAGCCATAGGGCGAGTAGTCGTAGCCGCCATAGCCGGGCCCGTAGCCCTGCTGGTAGCCGTAGCCCTGGTTCCAGTAGCTGCCGTAGCCCTGATTCCAACTCTGACTCTGACCTGTGGGGGGAGCAGGGCACAGGGGCCCATGGACCATTTAGCACACGCAGGAGCTAGGATGGAGGGAATCCTGCCCTTTGGGTGGCGGGGTTACTATGGCAACTCAGAGGTAGAAGCCAAGGGGCTACTGTCCTGGTGTAGAGGGCCCTGGGCCCGGCCCTGCACCTGCAGTGACCCAAGCTGGGGGTGGGAAGGCCCAGAGAGAACGTCACACTAACTTCACTCGGGGCGGATGAGGCAGGAGCTGACTCTCACTCAAACCACCCTCTGATCACCCCCACCCTCCCTGGCAGCTTAGCCCTAAAAAGGATGGAGTTCAGGCTTTGGAGTCAGAGGGGCCTAGGACTGAAGGAGACAAAGCGCCTGGCACAGCCCTGCCCTACCTTCTGACCACCCGCCCACGGGTACACCAAGACTCAAGACAGCCACAGAGCCAACCCCCTCATGCCCCCCCTCCCTCAGAGTGCAGTGCCACTGCCCCCTCTGCCCTGGGGCCCCCGGCCACAGGAGGAAACGGGCTCTTCCACTTCAAGCAGCAGCACAGCCTCGACTCAGCAGCACCATTCCTGCTCCTGCCCACCCTGCTGCAATGAGCACCGAGGCCAGAGGCCCCGAGACAGGCAACAGAAGCTCCATGCAGGCAGGGAAACAGGACCCATCTTCATCCCAGCTCCACTCACCTCCTCCACTTCCACCGCCACCACCGCTGCCTCGGTTCCCTCGGTTTCGGTTCCCGCGACCCCCAGAGCCATACTGCTGCTGTTGATAGACCTCTTTGGGCTGAGCCACCTTGATTTCACACTGAAAGCCAAGAAGACAGTGGGTCAGGTTGCTAGGACAAGCTGTGGGCACAGAGCGCACAAAAACCTTCACTGACAAACATTCAGATGGCAGATCTGGTCTGTCTGCTCAATTAAAAAATACGCTGGGGAGCTGGCCCCGTGGCCGAGTGGTTGAGTTTGCGCACTCCGCTGCAGGCTGCCCAGTGTTTCGTTGGTTCGAATCCTCGGCACAGACATGGCACTGCTCATCAAACCACACTGGGGCAGCGTCTCTCGTGCTACAACTAGAAGGACCCACAACGAAGAATATACAACTATGTGCCAGCGGGCTTTTGGAGAAAAAAGGAAAAAAATAAAAAATCTTACCAAAAAGACAAAAATATGCTGGGATGGGAAGCCACATTTGGGCTAAAAGCTCTCAGAGCCACATCTATAATCTAGACAGACCAAGACTCACACTAGGGCCTTTTTGCCTCAAACTTTTCCCCAGAGAACACATCCAGGGGATGATCAATACAACCCTAGGTCAGCTGATGGCAGTCCTGGGGCAGCCCGATGTCTAAGAACTGGGAGGAGAGGGTCAGCCAGGCCAATGCCAGCCCAATGTAGCAAGACACTACAGGCGTTAGGCCTGGTGCCTCCTTAGTCCTACCAGCAAAGGGGTCAGAGGCAGCTTCCCAGATGAGGGTCCTTAGAGAGTTAACAAGAATTTCTCTTTTTTCTTTTTACAGAAAAAATGAAGCATTCCACTCAAATACACTACTGGGATGATGGTCATGACCTCCAACTTACAGAAGAAGAAAGCCACTGAGGCTCAAGGCAGGGCTTGCTAGAGGCCATCCTGCTATCCCTCCCCCAGCCACACTGCTCTGTGGTTGGGTGGGCCAGATGTCTGTGTCCCCTCAGGGCCCAAAGAGTCAATTTCCTTTTTGCTCAAAAATCTGCCCGCTGTGGGTGGGGGTAGGGTCAAGGACCTTTCACTGCTCCGGCTTAAATAAATCATTAAGTGTATTCTTTAGACAAAGTACCCTGACACATACAACCCCTCCCCCATTAAATTCAGTTAAAAAAAAAAAGTTCATCTTACCAAGGCGTCCCCGTACAAGCATCTGCCTACAACAAACTGGCAAATTACCCCCACCCAGTGATGCAATCTGTTGTTTTCTATCCTATCAAATTAAAAATGCTGAATACAACTAAATACACTTATTTCAAAACCTACTATCAGCAGTTTGACTAATGCTGCCCTTGTGGCTCTTCCTGAGAAAAAGGCCTCCCTGTGTGTCACTGTCACTGGCTTAACAATTAATGGGATAATGTCTTACCAAACTGCCTCGCAGCTCCAATCTCATTTTACGTAAAATTAAGGGCCCAATTCAGAATCCAATCTTTCCAAATTCCCAGCCAGGACTGAGGCTTCCAGGAGCCCCACCCTACCTGTCCCACCTTATCTGGCTGCCACTCCTGCTCAGACAGAGCCTGCCACACCCTGCCACAGTGAGCCACACCCTCAACTCCCAACCGCCTCCTGGCCACCTGGAGAATACTCAAAGCATGAACTACCCTCTCTCCTGACCAGAGTTCAGGGGAAAGAACTGCAATTCTCAATGCAGAGGACTCTGCTCATTTAAAGGCAAAACTGGCCCCGGATATAAGCTGGTCAGGACCCAGGGAGCTCTTTGGAAAGGATCTTTGCCTGGGATGGGGGCTGACCAAACCACAAAGGGGATGGATGCAAACTCTGATTTGGTTGGAGAAAAGTTCTGCAGCAGTGTCCACAGCAGGAAAAGACTTCACCACAAGAGAAATCAGTGAATGGCAGAAGTTCTAGAATCTTCTGGGGCCTTATACACCTGGGACTCCAGGTCTAGAACCCTTGACTTACAGCTTTAAATCAGGAGTCCAAGGGGCTACTCAGTAGGTTCTGCCTGTCCCACAGAAGCCACCCTTCCTCCCCTGCTTCCCTCACTTCCTGTGTTTACTGCCAGGCCTATCAGCTGAGGAGCTCCTTAAAGGACAAAACCATGTGCCTGCCCCTATCAGGGCAGCAGACATGGCAGGCAAATGGTAAGGGCAGATAACCCTGGAAAGCTCTTGGAGGTAGCTGGACCCCTAATGCACACCTGCAGGGGCCAGCTCTCCAGTGGCAGGCCAAGCACACAGCTGGGGACACCTTACCTTACTTCCACTGATGGTGTGAAACTTTTTCTCCAGAACCTTCTTCACAGGTTCCTCTTCTTTAAAAGTGATGAAAACAAAGCCTCGTCTTTTGTTCGACTTTGGATCCATTGGAAGCTCAATGGCTTCAATCTGTAAACACAAGGAAAGCTCAGGACTAGTGCCTCCCCGCCCCAGGGGCCCAGAGGGAACTCACAGGAGAAAGGTCCATGGAGGCAAGAGAATGAAGAAGCCTTGTCAAGGAACGCTCCCTCCAGCCAAGGCTGCCAAGGACAAGGAAGAAGGCAACCTCAGGGCAGTTAGGCAACTCCCAGGGCCACACACTCACCTCCCCAAACTCGCCGAAGTACTCTCTGATCTTCTCCTCAGTGGCTTCTGGATTCAGACCCCCCACAAAAATTTTCTTTACTGGGTCCTTCTTCATGGCCATGGCCTTTTTGGGATCAATGACACGGCCATCCAGCCTGTGCTCCTTCTGGTCTAGGACCTGTTCAGTTCAGATATGAGACAATCAAGTTCTAACTCAGCATGACGCTAGACAAGGCCCTTCTCTGAGCCACAAAACTCCAACACAGGTACACAAAATGCATTTCAAACCCCTCCAACTCTACCCCCAACCTGATTTCCCAACCCAGTCCTCTCCAAACTTCAAGTACAGGTGATTTACCCAGACACCTATAAATCACTCCTCAACCCCCCTAGACTTTGCCCATGCTGGGTGCCCCTCCTTCCTGCCCAGTCAGTCCCAGTTTAAGGCCCATCTCCTCCAGAAGTAAGGCAGTAGTGACTGAGAGCACAGGCTGGAGCTGGGCTGCTAGGGTTGGAATCTCACTCCACCTTTACTAAGGTTGTGTGATCTCTCGTATTAAAACTTCGCTGAGCCTTAGTTTGTTTTCTGTAAAATGGGGCTAAAACAATGCCTATCTTGTAACAACCTTGGGTTATTTTCGAGTCCTCACAATAAAGCATTTGCTTTACCAATGTCCAGGATAGACAGAAAAGTTGGTAAACATCCACTGTCATCTTCCTGGACCACTCCAACCCACGCTCACTCCCCCCCTTACTCTGTATTTTTAATCCTTTTAAAAACAGAACACAAGTTCCTAACCACTCCGCTTTCCCCAAAGCACTCAACCCCTGCAGAACAAAACCTAATCACGGTCTAGGAATGCAGTGCTCTTAAGACAGGCTGAGACTGCCGATGTACAGTGCCCAGATTACCTTCTCCACACTAGTTGCATCTTTGAAGAGGATAAACCCAAACCCTCTTGACCGGCCAGTGTTGGGATCCATTTTTATTGTACAGTCAACGACCTCTCCGAATTTGGTAAAATAATCCTTTAGGTCCTTTTTGCTGGTATCCCAGCTCAAGCCACCAACGAACATTTTTCTGAAATGGTAGGGTGACACACACGGCAAGCAAGTCTTACAAGAAAGCTGTGATTTTCAAGGGACTGGGCCTATCAAAGCGTTCACCCAAGGACTATAAATAAAGCCACCACCCGGAACAAGAGTCCATAATAGTTCTATCTTCCGAGAACGTTAGCAAATCTCCATTACCCTCCCGAACTCGACCTTGACCCTAACCAAGATTCAGGAACCTGTGCACCCCCCGATGAGGGAGAGGACGACAACCGGCCAGGGGTGCGGCCCTGAGCGCTCACAACCGCAAGCCGTCTCTCTAACCACCTCGCTTCCACCGGCCCCGCCAGCCGGCCTCCCCACCTCCGAGAGCCCGCTCTCAAGGAACTCGCGGCTTCCGGGGGCCGAGGCCGCGCTGCGAGCGAGGCTCCACCCCCGGCGGGAGGCGGAGGAGCGAGGCCGCGGCCGGGGCGCGCGCCAACTCCGCCTACGCAGCCCTGGCGGCCCGGGCCCCGCGCGGCCCCGGGTCCGAGCGCTCCGGGCTTCCGGGCCGCCCGCCCGCGCGAGCGCCCCGGGGCGGCGCCGAAGTCCGCCGACAAACTCCCGCAAAGTCGGGCGCGGGCGGGGGGCGCGGGCCGGGCTCGGCCGCGAGCGGGCCCGCCGCCCCTCCCCCCGCCGCGTGGCGCCAACAAAAGGCCGCCCCGGAACAAAGGCGGCGCCGCGGCCGCACCTACCCCGCGTCCTCCTCGTTCTTGCTGGCGTTGATCTGGTCGCCCTCCGCGCCGTTCTGGTTGCCGGCCGGGGGCGCCGCGCTCCCGCCTCCAGCGCCCGCCGCGGCCCCGCCGCCGGCCCCGGCCGGAGACTCGCCCTCGGGGGCGGCCTCGTGTCCGTTCTCGGTGGCGCCCGTCGTCTCCATGGGCTGCTCCTCACCCGCTTCCGACATGCTAGGCCGGGGCGCGGCGGCTCCTGCAACGAGCGGCCACAGCGCGTCAAGCCGGAGCCGCTCCCGCCCGCCCGCCCGCCGCCCGCGGGCCGGCCGCTCACCTCGCCGCCGATGACGCCGCGGGGCCCGCTCGTCCCCACCCGCCGGGAAGTGCCGCGGGCTTGGCCGCGCTCACGCTTGCGCTGCCGGGCCTCGCCTCCGTCCGCCGACGGAGCCGCCGCGACCTCACGCCTTCTCCTAGGCCGCCGCCGCCCGCAAACCACCGACACACACTCGCTCGGGCCCGCGCGCCGCCGCCGCCTGACAATGCCGACTCGTGGCGCTCTTTATAATGCCGGGGCCGGGGCCACATCGCAACAAGACGCATGCTCATTGGCTGCGCCCGCCCGTCACTCAGCCCTATGCCGGCGCCCCATTGGCCACGGCGGCGCGCGCACGCTAGGTCCGGGCGGGCTTTGTCCTCATTTTAGAACCCGCGCTAGGCATAGGGCTGCCCGGGCCGGCGGGAGGACGGCCTAGTCCCGGCTCGTGGCAGCCGAGCGCGGAGGCGCCGGGGTGGGAGATGGCCTCTCCGCACTCTGAGGCCGCGGTCTTTCCTCTCTGTGCACCGCATCCCGGAGATGGCAGCTTCGGACGCTCCATTTCCCAAAGGAGGAAACTGGGATCGAGGAAGTCTCGCAAACCCAGGCCGCCCGGCTGGAAGTGGCAGAACCCGGGCTCCCGAGATTGGGCGCGTCGGGTCCCCCAAGTCCCTCGGCAGGGGTCAGAGGGATTGGGACGCAACCCGCCCTTGCCCTTGACCCTGGTGCCCTCCAAGCCCTGCGCTCCCGCCCTTTCAGCCGCTTCCCCCGGCGGCTAGAAGCAGGGAGGGCGCGGAGTCCGCTGGGTGTCTGGTGCCGACCGTGCTCGGGCAGGATATGGCGGGAGAAGCGGTGGGACCATGGTGTTCCCCAATCTTAGGTCGCCTGCCACCACCTTGACAATTAGCGTCGCATTTATACTTTTGATTTCTTAAAATTTTCATTTAAGTTAATTCATTTATTTTTGCTGAAATTTATTTTTAAAAGTATACCACTTTCGTGAAATCATGAGGTTTTGGTGGAGGTGGGGGATAGTTCTCTTTTTCTAATATACAAAACCCCTTAATATCATCTCCTTGAGCCCCAAGCTTGAAAGGCCTGCGTAATCCCGTGATTCTTTTTAATCATGTGGATGATAGGCCCCAAATAGACCAGGATTACAACCTCTGAAGCCTGAGAATTACCAAATAGCAACAGAATACAAGTAGCTGACACTTCTCGCCGGGTGTGGTGGCCTAGGGGTTCTGTTTTCTCATCGGGTCTCCTAATGACCCTATGGAAGGCAGTACCATCTCCAATTTATAAATGAGAAAATGAATGTAGAGGCTCTCTCCCTAATCTAGCCTGCCAGTGGAGTTGCCCTGAGAATGAAAATGTGACAATTTCACATTTGGAAAAAATGATCGATTTAAGAAAATCTGAAGATTTGGCCACACAGCCTGCATTCCCCTCAAGGTATCAATCAACTAGAGCTGGGACACCCACCCCCAGAGGAGCAAATGCCCTCTGGTTCACCCCGAGGCCCACCTGACCACTTCACTTTTAGGCTAGATGCCATGACTGGAATTCTCACATCTCCATAAACCCTTGGTCATGTCACTGAAATCTGGCCATAAGGCTTGTAGGGAAGTCCCTGACAAACTCCCCACCCCACCTCC